TTGAGCATGTGGATAAACATATAACCAGAATATTGCTGGCTTCTCTGACAAAAATGTCTCACTCCATTGCTTGCAACTTATTCCCTTATATTATCCACAGGATAACAAACTTGTAACACTACAATTAACTTGCAACCAGCAAACAATGTACATGTCACATTTGTTTAGTGAAGATATCTTATTAATGTTCTGTTTATTTAATGCCTAGGACATAAAATTCTACAATACTTGATTGCAATGCCTTGAAATTCTTCACCCCAATCCAGGACTTCCTTAAAATAGCAATAAACGATGCAGTATTTTAAGAAATACCAATAAACACTAACTGTAACTTGGGGGGGTGTCATGCAGTAATTATTTTTCAACTACATCTTCAGCTCCTGGAAGGAGTATTTTATTATCTGATTATGCCCTTAGGAATGACTTACATGTTCATCATATGCAGTGGTGTTTTCCAGTGATTTTTGTTGTGCTGTTTCACCTCAGTAATTCTCAAGTGAGTTGGGATTTGCCAAAGCCCTAAGATTTCTATTCTATACCATTAAAACTATACAACATCAACAACAATTGTATGTGGACTCATGCCAAAAAAAATTAACCTCTCCAAATATTATATTAAAATTCTTATTCATTAAATATACAATTTTGTTGTTTATTTTACCCTCACACCAACTTAGGTTGAAATTCAAATCTACTTGAATCATGCTAAATGAAGGTATTAACTTCTCAAACAAGCCAGTGATTCTCAAAATTTAGAGTAGGGAAGACTCCAGGAGAGTTTCTAAATTATTTATTTATTTGAGAGACTAATAGAACTGCTGCTTCAGTACTCCCAGCAAAACATCCACAATAGTCAGGGGGCTAAGTATCTCCATTTTGAACCAACACATTAGGCAATTTTGATGCAGGTGGTTTGTAACACATGATTTTGGAATCATCAACTTACAAATTTTTTTGAAAGATCTATTTATTTATGTATTTATTTATTTGAAAGATGAAGTGACAGAGAGAGAGAGAGAGAGAGAGAGAGAGAGAGAGAAATCTTCCATCTGCTGGTTCACTTCCCTGATGCTGCAACAGCTGGGACTGTGCCAGGTCAAAGCCAAGAGTCAGGAACTCCCTCTAGGTCTCTCATGTGGGTGGCAGGAACTCAAGTAGTTGAGCCATCAGCTGATGCCTCCCAGACACATTAACAGGAAGCTGGATTGGAACCTGAGTACCCCAGACTCAAAGGAGTACTCAGACTGGATGTGTGTGTAGGCTAAGCCCCTACTGCAGCTCAACACCCATCCTTACCAGTACATTTTTGAAATGTGCACTTTTAAAAATTAAGTGTACATTCTTTTTTAATTAGTCTCCAAATGCCCACAACACCAGCAGTGGGACAGGCCAAAACTAGGAGCCAGGAACTCCATCCTGGTCTCCATGTGGGTGGCAGGGACCCAACCACCTCAGCCATCACACCCACTGCCTCTCAGGGTGCACATAAGCAGGAAAATGGAATGCAGAGTGGACCCAGGACTGTAACTCAGGTACTCTAACATGTGATGCAGGTGTCTCAAATGGAGGTTTAGCTGATGCATCAAATGCCCATCCCGTTCCAATACATTTGATTACAGCTGAAAAGGAATTTAGATGCCATAATTATAATATAAAACTTGTTTATTCAGGGTGCTATCTTTAATCCTAATTATAAGCATTATACTAAAAATTCAATTGAGCAATTTTGAACTTCTTAAAACTAAGAAATTAGGTATACTGTAAAGGGAAATCCTTTTGGTTTAGAGTCATTAGATCAAATACTTATTGCATACCTATTATATTTGTTCTGCACTAAACATTTTGAAAATAAACATAAAACTAGATTCTGTTCAGCAGAACTTTATAATCTAGGTAGGAAGGCAAGATATAACCATAGAGCAGTTAAGTCATGTTACTAGGAGTGAATGATTACATGGAAAATGAGGAGAAATCAGAGGGGGCAGTGAAGAATGAAAAAGAGGCCTTTGCAGGAGTGCAGGGGAGGGAGAGGGAGGTAAGGCCGACCTTGAGGCCAGGTTAAAAAAAGCCAGGGGCGTGATTATACATTTGAGTGATTATACTCTTGCACTGCCAGAAACACATGACATCTCGGCAATGCATATTTTGCTTCAGAGTTCAGAGATACCAACTATAATTAAACCCAGATGCATATTTAAAGTTACTTCTCAGTATAAAAGGGGCAAAGCTCTAGCCACTATTTTAGATCTCAAACAGTCTGATTTTTTAATGTCAGAGAGAGAGCGAGAGAGAACCAACTTCATCCAAAATGAATATTTATCAGAGAATAACCACAAATGAGGGAGAAAAAACCAAATCTAGTACAGAGGTACATTTGAAAGAAAAGTAAAGAAGGTTTTTATTAATTAGTTCAAGCTTTGTACTGAAAGTAACAGGAATTGAAGTAAATGCATATGCCTATCCCCATTACATAGGCCAGAAAATGTAAAAGCAGAAGCTAATGGGGACTGAATGACTAAGGAAGAGCATAAAGCAAGCTAGGGGGAAGGCAACAGTGTTAAGAACTGTGACTGAAACAATCCTAATATCCCTGGAAATTTTAAATATTTGTTCAAACAGAACCTTGTGCACAAATGTTCTGAGAGCACCATTCTCAATAGTCAAAGGTACAAACAACCGAATGTCATCAACCCATGAAAAGACAAGTGAAATGTGGTTCGTCCATGAATTGAAATGTTACTCAGCTGTAAAGAAAGAAGGAAGGACTGGCACATGCTACAACACACCTGAACCCTGAAGACATTCTGCTAGAAGAAAGAACAAATGATTATTCTAAGTCTATGAAACATGCAGAACAGACAGATCCAGGGAGACAGGAAGCAGACTGGTGGTTGTCAGGGGCTGGAAGGAGGGCAGGATGGGGAGTAATTGTTTCATTGTTGTGGAGTTTTATTTTGGGGTGACGAAAAGTCTAGAACTAGGTAAAGCTGGGAGTTACACAATTTTGTGAATGTACTCAATGGCACTAAAATGTTCACTCTGAAACAATTAATTTTATGTTATGTGAATTTCATTTCAACTGTATAAGAACAGCTATCTACAACAACAAACCACAGCAAATTAGAAAAACTATACCTTGTTAATAGAGGCATCCACTATCCAGGTGTCACCAAGTGCTGCCAGTTCAGAATCTAAAAAAATTCGCTGGCGCTGCGGCTCAACAGGCTAATCCTCTGCCTAGCGGCGCCGGCACACTGGGTTCTAGTCCCGGTCGGGGCGCCGGATTCTGTCCCGGTTGCTCCTCTTCCAGGCCAGCTCTCTGCTGTGGCCCAGGAGTGCAGTGGAGGATGGCCCAAGTACTTGGGCCCTGCACCCCATGGGAGACTAGGATAAGTACCTGGCTCCTGCCATCGGATCAGCGCGGTGCGCCGACCGCAGCGCACCGGCCGTGGCGGCCATTGGAGGGTGAACCAACGGCAAAAGGAAGACCTTTCTCTCTGTCTCTCTCTCTCACTGTCCACTCTGCCTGTCAAAAAAAAAAAAAAAATCTAAAAAAATTCACTATCTATGAAATCACCACTAATTTGGGTCTAGGGTTGGGGTTCAGTAGGTTAAGCTGACACTTGCAACACTGGCATTTCAAATTGAGTGCCTGTTTGAATCCCAGTTGCCCTGCCAATGTGCTTGAGAAAGTAGTGGAAGACGGCCTAGGTACTTGGGGCCCTGCCAGCCTTTTGGGAGAGACCAGGATGGAATTCCAAGTTTCTGGGTTTGGCCTGGCCCAGCCTCAGCTGTTGCAGCCATATGAGGAGTGAACCAGCAGAAAGGCGGGATCTCTCTACCTCCTTTCCTCCCTCCTTCTCATTCTCCTTTGTTTTTCCCTCTGTCAAAGAAATAATTTTTTTAAATAAAAAAAAAAAAACTCACCAGTAACAAAAAATTTAAAACTGTGTCAACAAATAAAAACATATTCTAGGGCTAAATTCATCTTATAGGTCACTAATTTTAAAAACTCTGGCATAGTCAGTCCAATTTAAATCAGAATAATTTTAATATTTTGGAAGTTCACTATATTGTTTGACAGTTTCAAATTCTTAGAGATGAATTAAAGCACCAATTTATTTTGCTTGACTACACATACACACATATGTACAGATATATATTTATTTTTTTTAATTATGTATCTATTTGAGAGACAGAGAGAGAGAAACAGAGAGAAAAAGACATACAGAGAGCGCCCACCCACTGATTCATTCCCCAAACGCCTGCAATGGCCAGGACTAGGCTGGGCCAAAACTGAGACCGAGGAACTAAAGCCAGGAACCTGGGTGGCAGGAACCCAACTACCTGAACAATCACAGCTCTCTCCGAGGGTCTACACTAGCAGGAAGTTGGACTCAGGAGCCAGAGCAGGTTATGAACCCGGGCACTCTCACGTGAGACACAGATGTCCTATCTGTCAGCTTCACTACTAGGCTGAAAGCCTACCCTATCTACATATTTTTAAAATAGAAGATACCATGACATAGAAAACACAGGTTTTTTTTTTTTTTCCCTCAATAGTAACATGAAATTATAGTTCCCTTTCATGTACTTAATCTGAAATGATGTACTTTTCTCTGTGGTAACATTCTGTTGGAAACAGTCCAAACACTAGTTCACTGCTCAGCAAAAGTATTATGTTGAATGAAATGCAGCCGTCCATGTACATCCATAACCTTACTCACTTTAGCCTTGATCTATTCAGTTCAACTTCAGCTCTGTTTAAAACTTAAAAGTAAAGGAAAGCTCTTACTTTAAACAAATTTCAGGTATTTATGACTATGCTTAAACATTTTCCTACCAAAGGAAAGTTAACATGTTGAAGTAGAAGACTAACAAAATATTCAATATTTACAAGAATAAACAAAACCTCCAAATTTGTATGAATTTAGCATGCAACGTATTTTTAAGCTTTTTATATTAAAATAATTTTAGATTTACTGGAGTTGAAAACATGATTGAGAGTTCCCATGTATCTTTTATTCATCTTCCCCTTACCTACAACCATGATGCATTAACATATAAGTATTTATAAACATTTATATAACCATGATATATTTATCAAAACTAAGAAATTAACATTGACATAACACTATTACTTCAACTTCAGGCTCTATTCAGATCTACCCAGGTTTTCCACTAATGGCCTTTTTCTACTACGGGATCCAATCCAGGATACCACATGGCGATGAGTTGTCTCTTTAGTCTCCTCCAGTCTGTGATAGTTCGTTAGTCTTTCCTTCTAGATCCTTACACTCTCTTGACAAAACACTGTTTTCCATATATACTCAGGACCACTCCATTCTTTCCCACATCCTTTAAAGAGCCTATATTTGTAATAGAGTTAAGATTAATTTGTCACAGTCTGCATTTCATCCTGGATTCCACTGACATCCTGGTTGATTTTTCTACGTATTTTATGCATGATTTTTATATGCATATGATAAAAATCACTAGTGTTGAGTGCAAGTCTATGGGTTTTGAAAAATGTAATTAAGTAATCCAACACCATAGCACCATACAGAGCAGCTCGTCATCTTAAAAATCTTGTGAAATGAGGTAGCATTAATGAAAGAAAGACTTATTTATTAACTTATTTGAAAGGTAGAGTGACAGAGGGAAGAGAGACAGAGAGTAAGAGAGGTCTTCCATCCACCAGTTTACTTCCAAATGCCTGCAACAGCTGGGGTTAGGTCAGGCCAAAATCTGGAGCCCAGAACTCCATCCACTATATGGGTGGCAGGGACCCAAGTACTTGTGTCACCTTCTGTTGCCTTCCCATGTGCATTAGCAGGAAGCTGGATCAGCAGCAAAGTAATCAGTACCCAAACCAGCACTCTAAAATGGGATACAGGCTTCCCACGTAGTGGTTTAACCTGCTGTTCTGCAACACCCGCCCAGAAGCAGCATTATTATCCAGATTCATAGGCCTTTAAAAATCAAATATGCAACTGACCACAACAGTTATTACTAGGCTGAAGCTCTTTTGTATATACTACTTTTTTTTACTCAAAGTTCATATTCCACTTTAAGAAATCTTGAAAATTCTAAATTCTCTCTTGAAATGATAGCAAGTCTCAATTACTAATAACATATATGGATCAACCAATTTTGAGATTTTGAATCTCAAGTCATTTGCCATAGTCCATTTCTACTCTCCATACAAAACATTTCTATGCCAATGCAAAGTAAATGAAATCAGAAAATATGTCCAAAAATAACCTCATAATATAAATTATAATCAAATATAGTTACTACTTGTTTTTTCCCAGTGCTTTGAATTTCCCACTACTCTTTTCTTGGGCTGGGCATGACAAAAGTTGACTGTAATTCTGTTTTTTTCTCATAAAAATTTAAAAAGCCATTTTTCTATTTCTACAAGCCAGAATGTTTTCATTGCTCTCTGAAGTTCGGGGAAAAATGAGGATGTGTCATTTACAGTAAGTGGAAGTCAAAAACAAGACAGGTGGAAATGAGGTAAGTTATAGTGCTTGTTAAAATTCTCAAGGCCTTTTCAGAAGGCAAGGCTTGGAGAAGCACAAAGGCTAGCAGGCCTCAGGTTAGGGACTTGATTAGTCAATAGACAGGAATTCAAGAAATGTTCAATTGGCAGGCTGTGTGTCTTGGAAGCACCAAATACCTCTATTCAGGCTATTGCGCCTTAGAAGGGTAAAGCAAAATACAGGATTTCTTCTAAGGCCTCCACAGGTTTAGACCTGCTCAGATTTGAGCAAGAGGAAATAGATTTTAATCCTCAAGTATGTCACCTGTCCTTACCACTCAAGCAGGCTTTGGTATCTGACAGTGGAACCATGTGTGTGCATGTGGGGTCCCTGTAGAGGCTTGAATGAGGGTGGCTTGGTAGTGGTGGTAGAATGAGCCAGCAGAAATTGTATGCAAAATTGAATACGTGTGTATGTGTGTGTGTGTGTGTGCCTATGTGCATTTTTCTGAAGATAGCATCATTAGATTTCATCAGATTATCAAAAGGTTCTGAGTTCTAAAAAGGCCAAGAACCACTTGGGTTCAGGTTATAGCTAAAGGGGTTGGGGTCTCCTTAAATTTATCCAGTTTGACTCCTTGGAAATTCAGATTTCTCTTCAGTGGATGTTGCTTCCCAGAACTGGAGTCACAGCTGCGAGGAACTTTTCAGGACCACTCGCTGTCTGAGTGCCCCCAGGAGTACTGGCCTAACTCCCTACCTCTTACAGCATTCTTTGCTATAATTTTCATGACACTATACTGGTTGTGCTTCTGCAAATCTTCTGTCCTCTTAACTGGCATCTCTTAATCTCTTTATGTGTCCTGAAGGCAGGTGTTACCTAATGATCAGCTTTTTGTCCTTTGTGTTTTTCTTTCTGTATCTTTCCCTTAAGGCTTCTACCTATCTTCTCTATTAGATTCTTAAGCATGCACTGTAATTTCATACTTCTTTCTTTCTTTTTCTTTCTTTTTTTTTTTTTTTTTTTTTTTTTTTGACAGGCAGAGTTAGTGAGAGAGAGAGACAGAGACAAAGGTCTTCCTTTCGTTGATTTACCCCCAAATGGCCGCCACAGCCGGAGTGGTGTAGCCGGCGCGCTGCGCCGATCTGAGGCCAGGAGCCAGGTGCTTCCTCCTGGTCTTCCATGCAGGTGCAGGGCCCAAGTACTTGGACCATCCTCCACTGCCTTCCTGGGCCACAGCAGAGGCTGGACTGGAAGAGGAGCAACCGGGTCTAGAACCTGGGGTGCCGGCGCCGCAGGCGGAGGATTAGCCTAGTGAGCCGCAGTGCAGGCCTATAATTTCATATTTCTAGAACATGCTGAAATAATTCCCTTTACACAGATAGCCCCTCTTACAATTCACTACACACACACATATATATATACACACTTTTAAATGGGACTTTGTACAATCTCCAATATAAAGTCCCATTTAAAAGTATCTTCCAGGGCCTGATACTGATATTTTATTATAGCTGCTGTTAATCATAAAGACACTTTCAATTACTTGGGTTCAAAACCTCATATCAAGTAAAATAAAACTATCATAATAAAAATTTTAAATCTAGAGAACAGCAAACAGAACCATTAAATAGCTAATTATAGTATTACATATGAAGAATAATGAGAAAAATACACAGAGACTTTGATAATGAAAGAAGGGTCCCAATCCAGCTAGAATAGTGAATCAGAGAAGGCTTTATACAGGAAACCCCTTAGTTGAGCCTTATGGGTTCCTTCCAAAACTTCAAGTTAGTTCAAATGAAAGCAATGGAGAAGGTAAAAGGGGTGGCATTGTGAGAGAGGAGAAACAAGCAAAGGCATAAAAGATGAGAACTGGACGCTTTCAGAAGTCTGCAGTACATGAAGCAAAAATAGCAAGATACAGATAGATGAAACATTAGGGAGATAGACTCGGTAAAAACTGGTGCTGACTTTTATCTTGGGGTTTGAATCCCATAGTAGGAAACCACAAATCAGAATAGGGAAAAGGGGCCAGGGAAAAAAAGGGGTGTGTGTGTGATGGTGGTGGAGAGAAAGTGTGTTTCAAGCCTCACAGACCATCTGAATCCTCCTCCAATACCCTGACACTGTTCCTTTGGGGGGATGCTCCCAAACATCGAAAATCATCATGAACACAAACTTCTGAAGGATGTGTGTATGCTAGTGAATATTGTGGAGACAGGAGAGAGAAAAAGTATTAAGAAGGAATGTTGTATGTGGGGGAGCCTCGAAGGAGTCAGAAGCAGAGCAGTGACATCGTCAGTTTTGCATTTCTGGGAGGTCAGTAGGTTGTTGTGCAGAGGATAAAAAGGACGGAAATAAGATTAGAAGTCTAGTGATCACATAGGTAGCTGGTGCCATATCCAAGTGAGAATGAGTACAGGGCGGCGCCGAGGCTCAATAGGCTAATCCTCTGCCTGTGGCACCGGCATCCCAGGTTCTAGTCCCGGTCGGGGCACCGGATTCTGTCCTGGTTGCCCCTCTTCCAGGCCAGCTCTCTGCTGTGGCCCGGGAGTGCAGTGGAGGATGGCCCAAGTCCAGGAGAAGCACCTGGCTCCTGGCTTCGGATCAGCACAGCTCCGGCCGTTGCAACCATCTGGGGAGTGAACCAGCGGATGGAAGATTTCTCTCTCTCTCTCTCTCTCTCTCTCTCTCTCTCTCTCTCTCTCTCTCTCTCTCTCTGCCTCTCCTCTCTCTGTGTAACACTGCCTTTCAAATAAATAAATCTTTAAAAAAAAAAAAAGATACCTAAGACATTGATGACCAAATTTACACACTGGAGCCATTTTGGAAGGCTTCAAAAGAGTCTTCTGATTTGACTGATCTGGGATGTCCTGCTGGCCTTTGGAATTTCACTCAGTTGGTTGTGATGTGCAGAATACCAGAGGAATCAGCAACTTAGTGTATAAGGTCAGTCAATAGAAATCTGTCACCGACCAAAGGTGAGAATGTGGGAGAGGCATCATGGATGGACAAAAGCAGGTTTCTATCAGAGAACACCTGGGAAAGCTGAGCCATCAACCAGCCCTTGGACAGTGGCAGACACTCAACATGTATCTGCTGAATGTAGTTAAGATGAATGAGTAAGAAGACAAGATGAGCAGATGTTGGGAGGGAAGGCAATTTCAGTCTCATACAATGAGTTTGAGATGCAGTTTCTTTCGTATCTCTTGGATCAGTTTCTTTCCAAATTCCCCTCCACTACCCTTGTTCAGATCTTGATCCTGATATGTAGGATGACTTTCTTGGGTTCCCCTGAAGTAACCTCTAACCAGCTCCATGTTGCACCCACTACAGCTTTCTTTGGGTCACTTCCCTACTCAAAACTACTTAACCATGTTTAAGTAACTATATACTCTTTAGCATTCAAAAATCTTAAAATTCTGGTTCCAGTGTACTTTTGTACTCATGAAATTTCTCACATCCCTCATGACACTGGTTGTTTTTGTCTATTCATAGCTTCTCAAATATATATTGCATTTCCTCTGTCCTCTTTATCTCCAGCTTGCAAGCCTACCATCTTCCTGTCTGCCAAGCCAAAATCTACCAACTTTCAAAATCTAGTGCTGGTCTCTAGAGGGCTTCCCTGACCCACTTTTTAAGAAAGCAATTTCTTCCCCTTTGGAAACCACATAATACTGTACAGCAGAGCCTTCCAACATCTAGCATCTCCAAAGATGCTCTGAAACACATGCAACTCAGGAATCTGAAGGGAAAAAGAGAAAAACTGAATTTTTTAGCCCACTTCCATGGGTGCAAATTAAAAACAAAGGAGACCTGTCGGTAGTATATGGTGGTGGTGGTGGCGGTGGTGGTGGTGGAGGGTGGGAGGGTGGGAGGAGCAGTCTGCCTTGGTTAGGGAGAATATTTATCAGACATCACTTAGAGTTGCCAGCACATGGTGATAATAAAAAGCAGAACATGTTTTAGTTGGTTTTATTGTTTATAAATTCTCTACAGATAAATTACACCCTTATTGCCTACTCCCAGGGTGGGCCACTCACATTCTACCCTCACCCCGTATGCCTCTAAAACCTGGGAAAACAAGAGTGGAGTCCAGTCTGTACCATAGATAGCCTTGGGCTGCAAATAAAAAGTGCTTTTTAAGACATACAGCAATGCAGTGTTACATGCTCCTTTTCAATAACTTTGCGACATTAATGCTTGAGGAAAGTATCAACTATGTAAGACTGTGGAAGTGTAGGTAAGTGTAACAGCTATAGAAATGGGCTTCCCAATCTGCTGTCAGAAACTTAACTGTCTGCAGGTCCCAGATGCCATGCTCTGAATCTACCATTGTGTTCTAGGTGAGATCCTCCTCCCCTGTGCTTCTAGTCAATGACTGATAATAACAAAGATTCCTAGGCAGGCCCATAAATGCAAGAAGTGGGCCCTCTGATGGGTAATTCTGGATAAAGAATTCATCATCACTGGGGCCACTGCCTGTAACACTGGCATCCCATATGGGCACCAGTTTGTGTCCTGGCTGCTCTACTTCTGATCCTGCTAGTGGCCTGGGAGAGGCTGCAGAGGGTGGCCCAGGTGTCTGGGCCTCTGCCATCCATGTGGGAGACCTGGATGAAGCTTCATGCTTTTGGTCTGTCCTGGTGCTGGCCATTGTAACCATCTGGGTGGTGGACTACTGGATGGAAGATCTCTCCCTCTGTCTATAACTTTCAAACAAATAAATCTTTTAAAATAATTCATCATCAGCCTTGTTGAATTTTTCTTAGAGTTGTACTGCCATCTAAGACTCTTCCTACCCAACTTATCCCCCTTTCCTCTCTATTCCACCACTCTCATGGTCTGATGGCTTTCCTGGCCTCCTTCTGGCTCCCTCCCTGTTTTTCCTCACAAGTTTGCACCCAAGTAATCTCTCTGACAAGACTAATCCTGTTGCAGTGTTGGTTTCTCAGAGGAAAGAATCTTATATAATAAGGCTTTAATTTTTTAAAAATTAATTCTTCTATTTTATTCTTAGGAAATGTGAGAAACAACTCTCCATAAATGCAGCCCAAGACAACTTACATGAGTTTTATGAACAAAACATCAAATCTAATTAAGGAAAACAACCTCGCTAGAGAAAATCACATATGCCTGGATTCCCCTCATGGAATTCATATGGAGAATTTATGCAAAAAATCCAAACAATTGATTACATTAAAGACTCTCCATGGGGCTGGTATTGTGGTACAGCAGGTTAAGCTGCCAACCGCTATGCTAGCATCCCATATGAGCACTGGTTGGAGTCCTGGCTGCTCCACTTCCAATCCCACTCCCTGCTAATGGCCTGAAAGTAGAAGATGGCTCAAGTGCTTGGACTCCTGCACCCATATTTGAGACCAGGATGATATTCCTGGCTCCTGGCTTCAACCTGGCTTAGCCTTGGCTATTGCGACCATTTGGGGAGTGAAATGGTGGATGGAAGACCTCTCTTTCTGTCTTATTCTCTCTAACTACCTTTCAAATAAATACTGATTTTTTTTTTTAAAGGCTCTCAATCCTTAAAAGACAGGCATCCTAGGGCTGGCACTGTGGCACAGTGGGTTAAGCCACTCCCTGCAGTGCTACCATCCCATATGGGCACTGTTTCAAGTCTTCCCTGCTCCACTCTGATCCAGTTCCCTGCATGCACCTGGGGAAGCAGTGAAAGATGGCTCAAGTGCTTGGACTCCTGCACCCATGTTGGAGACCCGGAAGAAGCTCCCAGCTCCCGGCTTTGGATCAGTCCACTCCCAGCCTTTGTGGCCATTTGGGGAGATCTGTCTCTCCTTCTCTCTCCATAACTCTGCCTTTCAAATAAATAAAGACAGAAGTGCAAATTTTCTTCCCTTTACAACTCATACTGCAGCCTCCTAGTCTGTCTGCCTTAGAATAGTTTTGATTTTTAAATGCATTCTTCAGCCTTTATCATAGAGTGTCAAACCTTCCCTTTTGATTTGTATTCTCCCTTCATAGTGTTATTTAGTGTATCTGTTTCAAAGACTTTTTCCATCTAGTTAATACAACTCTAATTTTTCTCCATGGCCCCCTCTTCTCTCCCTATTTTCTTTTCTCTCCCCCCCCCCCCCACAGGCAGAATGGACAGTGAGAGAGAGAGAGAGAGAAAGGTCTTCCTTTACCGTTGGTTCACCCTCCAATGGCCGCTGCACCCAGTGCACCACGCTGATCCAAAGCCAGGAGCCAGGTGCTTCTCCTGATCTCCCATGGGGTGCAGGGCCCAAGCACTTGGGCCATCCTCCACTGCACTCCCGGGCCACAGCAGAGAGCTGGCCTGGAAGAGGGGCAACCGGGACAGAATCCGGTGCCCTGACTGGGACTAGAACCCGGTGTACTGGCGCCGCAAGGCAGAGAATTAGCCTACTGAGCCGCGGCGCCGGCCTTTCTCTCCCTATTTTCAAGCCACCTTCTCACTGTGCCTATCTGTGCTCATTTCTTTTTCTAAAATTTATTTATTTGAAAGCCACTATCTGCAGTGCCAGGCTGGGCCAGGGCAAAGCCAGGAGCCTCAAACTCCATCCCAGTCAGGTCTGGACCAAACTAAAGTCAGGAGCTTCATCTTTGTCTCTCCATGTGAGTGCAGGGGCCCAAGCAATTGGGCTCTCTTCCACTGCTTTACCAGGTGCATTAGCAGGGAGGCAGACTGGAAGTAGAGCAACCAAGACTACTACTGGCACCCATATGGGATGCTGCTGCTTCAGGCGGCAGTGGCTTAACCCACTATGCCATAGTGCCAGCCCCTGAACTAAGTATTATTAAGCCAATTATTTATTTATTTGAGAAGTAGAGTTATGGACAGAGAGAGGGAGAGACAGAAAGAAAAGTCTTCCATCTGCCAGTTTACTCCTCAAATGGCTGCCACAGCTGAAGCTGGGCTAATCCGAAGCCAGGAGTCAGGTGCTTCTTTCAGGTCTCCCACGCAGGTACAGGAACCCAAGCAATTAGGCCATCTTCAACTGCTTTCCTGGGCCATAAGAAGAGAGCTGGATTGAAAGAGGAGCAAACGGGACACAAACTGGAGCCCATTTGGGATGTCGGCGCTGCAGGCGGAGGCTTAGCCTACTATGCCATATTGCCAGCCCCTAATAAGCCCATTTTCAGAGTCCATTTTTCAGGCTTAGAAAGGATAAGAGTCTTGTCTAAGTTCCCACAGAACATGTATTAAAACTCAAGTGAGTCTTTTTTCTTTTTAAAGATCTGTTTATTTATCTATTTGAAAGTCAGAGTTACACAAAGAGAGAAGGAGAGGCAGAGAAAGAGAGAGGTCTTCCATCCTCTGGTTCACACCCCAATTGGCTGCAATGGCTGGAGCTGCACCGATCTGAAGCCAGGAGCCAGGAGCTTCTTCCAGGTCTCCCACGTGGGTGCAGGGGCCCAAGGACTTGCTTTCCCAGGCCATAGCAGAGAGCTGGATGGGAAGTGGAGCAGCCGGAACTTGAACCAGCACCCATATGGGATGCCAGCATTGCAGGCGGCGGCTTCAGGTGAGTCTTAATGCTGTCTTGAGCTGGGCATTCCAGAACATTTCCTGAAGTCAGTTGTTGAGTAGATCATGCTCACCTTTTAAAAGGGAAATGATGTCCCCACTGCCCTTACAAGAGATAAATGGTGAACAATATCTTTATATTAAAAATACAAAAATGAACCACACAAAATAATGGAGTAGAAAGGGGCCTTCGAGATCATCTAGTCTAACCTCCAGTAAATGAAGAAAATTGGGAAGCATTGCTGTTTCACTGACAGACTTTTTTTACCTTGGACATGAGTGATGCCTGACTTCTGCATCTCAGCCCACACCAAGGGAGAAGAGCCCTTGGCAGAGGAAATGGGAGTTGTAGACAGGTGGGCGGTTAGATGGTTGTTAGGGTAAATTCATTCAAACTAAGAAAACATTCCACTCCCACTCCACCCAGGGCGGCCACACGGAGACAAACAAGGACAGCTCCCATCTCTTTCTGACCCTCCGGTGATTCCCAGGGCATGAGACTGGGGGAAGGGCAGGCTGCCTCCTTTTCTCAAGTTCTCCCGTCAGTTCCATCAGCCAAGGGCACAGGAACGGGAAAAGGGAAAGGAGGGGCTTTCTGTGGCTTCTAGGAAAGGAAAGGGCAGTGTGTTCCTTTCTTTTTCTCTTGCACATAAGGCACAGCTTTCTCCCAGATGACAGATAATGAAGTATTTTCTCTATTTTAAGAGGAAATTCAAGATACCACTGCCTTTTCTGAAAAGTTTTCTCTCTCAGGCAGACTGCCATTATCAATAGCAGTAGGTAAATATTCTTTCTATAGTAACTTTGTGTTTTTTTTTTCTCAAGCCGACATATGAATTTAGGAAACCAATGGGCACAGCAAACACATGAATATTATTTGCTATATTTTTTTGATAATGCAAGTATAATTTGTTAGTGCAATGTAAATTTCTCTACACCTTGTTGTTCACCTGGGCCATAGATAAAATAAGCAAATCCATGAATGTTCAAACTTTGAATTGCTAATGACATCACTAGCAATGTATTTTTAAAATAAATAGCCTCATTTCATCTATATTACTTCAGACTCTGGGGCCATGGATGGTGTATTTTTGCCATCGAACCTCAAGGTATATTTTCCCATGGAATACTTTAGATGTTCTTTACAACCAAGATTTTAGAAATTTCCTTTATAACTTTGTAGTAATGTGTCAGTATATACAAGCCCTCTAAGTCCTTTGATGTTTAAAAGCTATAGTATCCCCTTGTCCTTGGTATTCTAAAGAAAGGTTACACATGGAACCACCCATGTTTTCAGCCCATTCCTTACCCTCTAGCTTCCATAATGATTAAATAATGTTTTGTTTATTTGAGTGCCTCAAGCCAGAGTCTCAGCTTAATCACTTCCTCCTGGAAGCACTTCCTAAACCCTACAAAGGTTAGCTACCTCCTCATATGCCCTCATGACTTGTGTTTAAAGGGAAAGATTTTGTCATCTCTGCTAGAATGTAAACTCTAACAGGCTCAGGGATTAGGTAGATCTTATCTATCACAATCCCAAGAATCTAATATAATGTTAGGAATTCAATAAACAGGGGCGAATATTTGGCCTAGCAGTTAACACACCAGCTGGGATGCCCACATTTCATACTAGAGTGTCCATGCGAGATTCCCAGCTCTGCTGATTCCAGCTTCCTGCATATGTGTACCCTGAAAGGCAGCAGGTGATGGCTCAAGTTGCAGGGACCCTGGCACCTATGTGGGGAACCTGGACTGAGTTCTCAGTTCTTGATGTAAGCCTACCTCAGCCTCAGCCACGGCCAATTCCAGAATTTGGGGAGTGAGCCAGCAGACAGGAGCTCTGTCTCTTGTCTCTCAAAGTAATTTTAAAAACAGGTAGAGTTGCAGACAGTGAGAGAGAGAGAGAGAGAGAGAGAGAGAGAGAGAGAGAGAGAGAAAGATCTTCCTTCCGTTGGTTCACTCCCCAAATGACTTCTACGGCCGGCGCTGCACCGATCCGAGGCCAGGAGCCAGGTGCTTCTTCCTGGTCTCCCATGTGGGTGCAGGGGCCCAAGGCAAGCACTTGGGCCATCCTCCACTGCCCTCCTGGGCCACAGCAGAGAGCTGGACTGGAAGAGGAGCAACCACGATTGAACCCAGCACCCATATGGGATGCCGACACTGCAGGCAAAGGATTAACCAAATGACCCATGGCGCTGGCCCCTAAAAACAGAATTTAGTTAACTACTAGAAGGCCTCATTCATTCCCCCAGAATCTTAGCAGCATCTGATAGTATAGAAAACTTTTAATTCTCTCTTCCTGAAAGTTTCACTTCTCGCTGTGGGAACACTCTCCTCCTGTCCTACCACTGTTTTCATTGCTCTCCCTCTGCCTTACCTTTAGTCTCTTTTTCCCTATGTTCCATCCTAGTCCAGTTCTCCTTGGCAGCACATGGTAGGCACTTAGTAAACATGTGCTGAATGAATGAATGAGAGAATGTTATGCTTCAGACTCTCCTTCCAAATGCTGTTCATCTCCATGGTTTCAATAATTACACTAAATCAACGGGGTCTAAACATCTATGCCTAAACTTAATGACTTGCCGGTAGTAAACTCCTGCAAGCACCTTACATCAATAGATTTGCAAATAAACTTAAGATGTTAAATAAACAGCAGAGAAATTACGCACAAATATCTCCTTTTCTATCCCAATTCCTGCTAAAATGACAGCAAAGGATTTCCTTTAAGAAAAAAGGTACAAATCCACAGGAGCAAAGAGAACAGAAGAGAATACAATGGTTAACCAAAGATTCTAACAGACTTGGGGAAGGTAGAAAGTAGATGGAGGTGAAGTATGAGTGAGGAGTTGGAATGAATGTAGAATCTTTCTCAACTTTAAGGATATTATGATAGTTGCAATATCTTTTTCTTCTTTTAAAATTGACTTTCTTTCCCTGGTGCTTTTTTCCCCTTCCTGTTCTCCTCTACACCTAAAAGTTTCCATACTGAAATAGATACTAAGCAAACAAAGAAGAACTGACTCAGCCTACAGAGCTCTGGAAGGGCTCTGTGTATGGAGTTTGCAGGTCCCAAGAAGAGTAGAGTTTATGCACCCACCAGACTGGAACACAGGTAACATGAATTTATGTAACAAACTATAATATACAGAACCAGCCTCCCTGACCCTACCTGGAAATACTGGCACTGGGCTTTTATCCCCCAGATTAGAAGCTTCTTTCTTCTCTGAGAAACTGAACGGTTTAAAGGTGAAACACTTTCAGGTACTTGGAAGTTTCCTGCAACAGTAAAAAAAAAATAAAAAAAAAAAAAAAAAAAATCTACTATCAACAAGCCCTACCTATGCCCACATAACTTCTATTCAGCTTTTTAATGCCCCATTCTTAAATACAAACAGACAGGGATTCAGATTATGACTATAAAGTCAGACGCAGCTTAACAAGCATTTGAAAGAAAACTTGGTTTAACAAGCATTTGAGGGAAACTTGTAAACAGAAAAAGAGAAAATGAAAGAAAAAAGGCACTCAGGGGAAATGGCCAACTAAGAAGAGAAAAACTGTAATTCATGTCCTTAGAGACAAGAAAATATACTCAGCCATAAAATAAGATAGTGAGAAAAAGGAATAAATGGAAAAGAGTGCTTGTAATTTAAAATAAAACACATATAAAAATTATTCAAGGATCAGATGATCACATGAATGAATTCTTGCAGAAAAAAATATAGGATAAAAACTCTAAAAAAAAGGGGGGCGGGGAACTGATTAACTAGTAATTGCTTAACAGGATAGAAGACTACTAATTCCATAACAGGAATCTGGAAAAAAGAGAACATAGAATATTGTAGGGAGAATTATCAAAGGGATACTATAACAAAATATCCCGAGTGCAGGACTGTGACACACAAGTGATGCAAAACATCCTCAACAAAATACTAGTCAACTTAATCCAACGACACACCAGAAAGATCATTCACCCAAAGTGGGATTTATCCCAGGTATGCAGGGATGGTTTAACATTTGCAAATCAATCAATGTGATACATCACATTAACAAATTGAAGAAAAAAAAAAAACATGATTATCTCAATAATGCAGAGAAAGCATTTGATAAAATACAACACCAATTCATGATGAAAACTTTAAACAAATTGGGTACAGAAGGAACAAACTTCCTCAACACAAGACAATGTATGAGAAACCCACAGCCAGCATCCTATTGAGTGGGAAAAAATTGAAAACATTCCCACTGAGATCCAGAACCAAAGATGCCCACTCTCACCAATGCTATTCATATAGTCCTCAAAGTTTTAGCCAGAGCCATTAGGCAAGAAAAAGAAATCAAAGGGATACAAATTGGGGAGGAGGAAGTCAAACTATCCCTATTTGCAGATGACATGATTCTATATACAGGAGATCCAAAAGACTCCACTGAGAGACTATTGGAGCCCATAGAAGAGTTTGGTAAAGTGGCAGGATATAAGATCAGCACACAAAAATCAATAGCCTTTGTATACACAGACAAAGTCATGGCAGAGAAAAAACTTCTAAGATCAATCCCATTCATAATAGCTATAAAAAAATCAAATACTTTGTAATAAATTTAACCAAGGATGTCAATGATAAATATGACAATTACAAAACATTAAAGAAAGAAATAGAAGAAGACACAAAAAATGGAAAAATCTTCCATGTTCATGGATTGGAAAAATCAGTATCATCAAAATGTCCATATTAGCAAAAGCAATTTATAAATTCAATACAATCCCTACCAAAATACCAAGAACATTCTTCTCAGATATAGAAAAAATGATGTTGAAATCCATATGGAAACACAGGAGACCCTGAATAGCTAAAGAAATCTTATAAACAGGGGCCAGCGCTGTAGCGCAGCGCGTTAAAGCCCTGGCCTGAAGTGCCAGCATCCTATGTGGACGCTGGTTCTAGTCCTGGCTGCTCCTCTTCCAATCTAGCTCTCTGTTATGGCCTCAGATAGTAGAAGATGGCTCAAGTCCTTGGGCCCCTGCACCAACGTGGGAGACAAGGAGGAACCTCCTGGCTCCTGGCTTCAGATCAGTGCAGCTCTGGCTGTTGCGGCCATCTGGGGAGTAAACCAGTGGATAGAAGACCTCTCTCTCTCTGTCTCTACCTCTCTTTGTAACTCTGTGTTTCAAATAAATGAAATAAATCTTAAAAAAAAAAAAAAAAGAAATCTTATAAAACAAAAACAAAGCTGGAGGCATCACAATACCAGATTTCAAGACATACTACAAGGCAGTTATAATCAAAACAGCCTGGTACTGGTACAAAAACAGATGGATAGATCAATGGAACAGAATAGAAATGCCGGAAATCAACCCATGCATCTACAACCAACTTATCATTGACAAAAGAGCTAAAATCAATCCCTGGAGCAAGGACAGTCTCTTCAACAAATGGTGCTGGGGTAACTGGATATCTACATGCAGAATTATGAAGCAAGACCCAACCTTATACCTTACACAAAAATTCATTAAAAATGGATTAAAGACTTAAATCTACAACTGATACCATCAAATTATTAGAGAACATTGGAGAAACCCTGCAAGACATTGGCATAGGCAAACATTTCTTGGAAAAGACTCCAGAGGCACAGGTAATCCAAGCCAAAATAGACAAATGGAATTCCATCAAATTGAGAAGCTTCTGCACTGCAAAAGAAACACTCAGCAAACTGAAGAGGCAAACCATAGAATGGGAGAAATTATTTGCCAACTATGAAACTATAAAAAATTAATAACCTGAATACATAAAGAAACTCAACAACAACAAAACAAACAATCCAGTTAAGAAATGGGCAAAGGACTTAAATAGGCATTTTTTTTCAAAAAAGGAAATCCAAATGGCCAACAGACACATGAAAAAATGCTCAGGATCACTAGCCATCAGGGAAATACAAATCAAAATCACAATGAGGTTTTACCTAACCCCTGTTTAGAATGGCTTTCATACAGAAATCAACAAACAACAAATGCTGGTGAGGATGTGGGGGAAAAGGTACCCCAATCCACTACTGGGGGGAATGTAAACTGATAACAGCCACTATCAAAGACAGTATGGAGATACTCAGAAATCTGAATATAAACCTACCATATGACCCAGCCAGACCACTCCTGGGAATTTACCTAGCTCAATTCACAATAGCTAAGATATGGAATTAACCTAAATGCCTGTCAACTGAAGACTGGATAAAGAAATTATGGGATATGTACACAGCAGTTAAAAAAAAAAAATGAAATCATGTCACTTGCAACAAAATAGGTGAAACTAGAAAACATCATACTTAGTGAAATAAGCCAGCCCAAAGGACAACTACCATTTGTTCTCTCTGATCTGTGATAACTAACAGAGAACCTAAAAAGTAATCTACAGAAGTTAAATTGACACTTTGAAATGCACAGCTTTTTTCATACTAGTTGCTGAACTCCTTACTTAGTATAGAGTTAATCATATGTGTTATAAAGTTAATTGAAGATAGATCTTAGTAAAAAAAAAAATAAGAATGGGAATAGGAATGGGAGGAAGAAGAGGGGTAGGAGTGTGAGTGGGAAGGCAGGTACTGTGGAAAGAATTACTATGTTCCTAAAGTTGTATTTATGAAATGCAAGAAGTTTGTATTCCTTAAAAGGTTTCTGGGGGAAAAAAAGAAAAAAAAACTTTTGTACTGTTTCAAACTATAGGCAGAGCTGATTCAAGTCCCAGCTGCTCTACTACAGATCCAGCTCTCTGCCATGGCCTGGGAGAGCAGTGGAAGATGGCCCAAGCCCTTAGGCCCCTAGCGTGGGAGACCCAGAAAAAGCTTCTGGCTCCTGGCTTCAGATTGGTGTAGCTCCAGCTGTTGCGGCCATCTGGTGAGTGAACCAATGGATGGAAGACCTCTCTCTCTCTCTCGCTGCTTCTGCATCTCTGTAAATCTGTTTTTCAAATAAATAAATAAATCTTTAAAAGACTATATGCATATATTACTTTGTTAAACAATTGAAAATAAGTAAACTTCCCATTTCTTACTCCCAAATCCATATTTCACTTCTGTAGTCCCTTTGTCCATTAATATTATCATCCCAGTTAGCTCCAAAACAGTCCTGTCAGTTCTAATTCTGGTGACTCTTTCACACACCTCTCCTCCTTTCCAACCCTCCTGCCCTCATCTAATCCTTACTCATTAAAAGGTTCCACAATCTCATTACTGCTACAGCCATGTGTTGAAAAGCTTTGCATACTTGCAATGGACTCCCACTTTGCAGCCCTCCACCTCCAGGGTATGCACTGAGACTTGGCATTGGCAGGTAGGGGTTTTCCCTTCCTACTCTGTTCCCCAACTGCCACTTCCAAGTCACATCAATTCCTTCCCAATTAAACCTAACTCTGGCAGTAAACCCAGGTAGCTAAACTTTTCTCCAGAAACGGGAGAAAGAAAAAAAAAACAAAAAACAAAAAACAAAAAACAGAACTCCCACTTGGTCTGATTTTATAGCCAAAAATGCCAAATAGCAAACAACATTGTCCAGCAGTCCCACTAATTTCTCTGGCTATTTTGTCTCCCCAGCTCTAACATGCTTATTTCTTTATTAACCTTTCCTTTTTCCACAAACTTCTAACAAACTGTTGTGTCCCTCTGCTGATGACTCTGCCCTCCCTTCACACTTTAGGGAGAAACAAGAGGCTGTTTGACAAGAACTACCTAATCATCTTCCTATGACCACTACTATCCAGTGGCTCTACCTAAACCTCTCTGTACACGGTTCTGTTAAAATGGAGGAAATTTCGTTGCTTCTATATAATCCACCATTTTTACTACCCAAGAATTATATTCCTAACAATCATCTCTGATATCTCTCCTAAATCATCAATTTCCCTCTTTCAACTGGATAATAACCATCAGCACAGAGACTTATTTAATATCACCCATCATAAGCAAACAAAAAAATGGCCTTGGCTTTATGTCATCTTCCAGCTCCCTTCCCATTTATATTTTCTTCATGATAAACTTCCAGAGTGGCAGGCACTTGGTGCACCAGTTAAGATGCCACCTGGGATGGCCCTCCTATATTGAAGTGCCTGGGTTCAAGACCCAGGTTTGCTCCTGATTCTAACTTCCAACCAATATGCACTCTGGGTGACAACAGGTGATGGCTCAAAAACTTGGGTCTCTACTGTGGGCCTCTGGGGAGTGAACCAGTACATGGAAGACTTCGGTGTCTCCCCCATTAGTCTTTTAAATAAAAAATACTAACAATAATAAAATATTTCCAGAGATCTTTAGTTATAATCTTTCTTTCTCACTTTCCATTCTCTGTTCAACCTATTTAACTATAGTTTCATACCAGTTTTCTTATCCTATAAAGGATAGGAAACACAATATGGACTTTAAGGCCCAGCATTGTGGTGTACGCTGGCATACCACATGGGCGCCAGTTCAAGTCCCAGCTGTTCTACTTTGGATCCAGCTCCCTGCTAATGTGCCTGGGAAAGTAGCAGGAGGTGGCCCCAATGTTTTGGCCCCTGCACCATATGGGAGATCCAGAAGAAACTCTGGACTCCTGGCTTCAGCCTGGTTGAACCCAGCTGTTGTGGCCATGTGGGCAGTGAACCAGTAGACGGAAGTTCTCTCTCTCTGTGTCTGTGTTTCTTCCTCTCTCTGTAACTCTGACTTTCAATTAATATACGTATATAGACCTATATATATGGACCATAACCTCTTGGGTTCTAATTTCTGCTTCGTGATTTACAGGCTATAAAAGCAACATAAGTTCCGTTTTCCTCTGTGCTTCAGTTTCCTCAACTATAAAATGAAGATAATAAAAGCAACTACTTCATAGAGATTTTTTTTGAAGATTAAAATAGTACATATAAAAGTACAAGAATACTAGGCACATAGAAATTATTCAATATATGTTTGCCATTTTAGTCAATAAAACCCTCCTTCATCTTAACAAATTCAGTAATGAAGGATATTTCCTTCCCTCATCTCTCAAGCAGCACTAGGCAAAACTTCACAACTCACATCTACTAATGACTTCTATTTTCCTCCTACTTTACTGGCTGCTCATTTTTAGGATCCTTGTTGGCTTTTTAAGTTTAAATATTGGAATGCTCAGCCCTCTCTATTTATTTATCTTTTTCTCATATTTATTTATTTATTTGAAAGGCAGACAGATACACAGAGAGGCAGAGATGGGGAGGGGGTAGAGGGTGGGTGGAGGGAGAGAGAGAGAGAAACAGAGAGAGAGAGAGAGAGAGATCTCATCCACTGGATCACTCCCCAAACACCCACAACAGCCAGGGCTAGGCCAGGCCAAAGCCAGGAGTCAACAATTCCATACAGGTCTTACACATGGGTGACAGGATCCCACATAATTGAGCCATCATCTGCTGCTCCCTAAGTGCACTCAGGAAGCTGGACTGGAGGCACAGAGTATACAAGACTCAAATCAGGGACTCTGATGTAGAATGTGGGTGTCCCAAGAAAGGGCTTCACATACTGAGTCACAATGCCTGCCCCAGCCCTCTCTTTTTACTATCTAAACTCTTAGTGGGTAACCTGATTAAGTCCTATGCTTTTAAACACTACCTATATGTTAATATTTCTCAAATTCTATCTCTAACCCTGTGTCTCATGAGCATCAGACGTGTATGTTTAACCAATGTCTCCACCAGGATATTCAGTCAGTACCACAAACCTAACAAATCCAGGATAGAATTCTTAAATACCTCTCTCTCAGACCCTTCTCAGCCAATACATTTCCTCCTATCAATTTTCCTATTTCTAGTCTAGTTATCAACATTCAACTATCAGGTAAAAAGAAAAAAAAAACTAGATATCATATCTTGTTTTCCCTTCTTTCAATCTGACATCCAAAAATTAGTAGTCCTATTTGGTCCACCTCAAAAATATAACCCATGAGGTCGGCGCTGTGGCATAGCAGGTAAAGCCACTGCCTGCCTTGCCGGTATCCCATATGGGCACCGGTTCGAGTCCCTGCTGCTCAGCTTCTGATCCAGCTCTCTGCTATAGCCTGGGAAAGCAGTAGAGGATGGCCCAAGTCATTGGGCCCCTGCACCCATATGGGAGACCTGGCTCCTGATCAGTGCAGCTCCAGCTGCTGTGGCCAACTGGGGAGTGAACCAGCAGATGGAAGACCTGCCTCTCTCTCTGCATCTCCTTCTCTCTCTGTGTATCTCAGACTTTCAAATAAATAAATAAATCTTTTAAAAAAATATAACTCAAATCGATCTATACTTCCTACCATGTGACTACTGACACCTTAATCCAAGCTATCATGGCTTCTTTGTAGTCTACTGAAAAATCTTCCCAGTAAGTCTCCCTACTTCCATTCTTTGCTCCCAACAATTTCCTCACAGCAATCAGAGTAATCTCAAAGTATAAACCAGATGGTATAAATTCCCTGCCTTCCATTACAATTAAGAGTAAGATCTGAAATACTGTTCTTGGAATATACATAAGTGATTGATGATTGAATGACTGAAAAAGTTTTGTTACTATAGTTACAGCTAAAATAAAATCTCCTCTGTGAAACTGGGAGTTTATTAGACAAATATATTCAAATGCCTGAGAATTCAGGCAAATATTCACTATATATTTTCTTTACAGATGAGATAACTGATATCCTGTCAAATTTTGTATTCTCTCTGTACAAGTCAATTAGCTCTGGACATTTCATATATCTCTGAGGTTCTCACTGGTCAGGCCTTTAAATATCATGAAACCCAACGAATTGCTAACATACTATTTTCTGCTTGGAAGTAATTTTCCCAGATTGCTAATGACTTAAATATCTTTTAAAGATTCTACTATCATTTCCTTGCATTGATCAACACAGCTCATCAAACTTAGCAGTTGATTAACCTAGCAGAAATGTAATATATTCTAAATAGGAATCATTCTAAATGAACTTACTGATGCACAGATTGTCACAACAAATTTTCATTAATTGATTATCCCCTAAAAATAACAGACTTTCAAAACTTAATAAAAAGTACTGAGTGCTATTTTAGTAATCATTTGAACTATCCTTAAATCTATTAATAAGATCACTCATTTTAATGTCAGTAAAATATCATTTAACATTCAACATTTTCAATATTAAAAATAAAGCAATGATAATCTGAATTTCAAAACTGGCAGTCTAATTAAAATTAACATGTAAGTGTTTTTACAAAGTGCAACAAAATGTTATTGTCTCAATATTACACATCAATATAAGATTGAGAGTACAAAACAATGCTTTTAAATTTTCTTTTGCTCATCTCAATCCTGATTTTTTTCCTTACAAAACGTGCTTTCAGTTATTTGTAAAATGCCTACATAGCAAAAATTAATTAATTAACTAATTAAAAAAACACCAAAAACTATCAACAAAGATTGTTTCTGATTACTCTAGTATTCTAAATCTTTAGATTGTTCTAAGAGTTACCTCAAGCATACAGTTTAGAAATGCTCATTTTAAAAATTTACTCATTAATTTTTTATTTATTTGTTATTTTTAGTTACTTAAAAGTCAGAGAGCTGAAGACAGAGCTTTTCCATTCACTGGTTCACTCCCTAAATGTTACAACAGCAGGACTGGCCCAGACTGAAGCCAGGAGACTGGAACACATTTCAGGTGTTCTATGTGGGAGGCAAGGACCTAAGTTCTTGAGCCATCACCTGCTGCTTTCCAGAGTGTGCATCAGCAGGAGAGCTGAAATCAGAAGCAGAGTTGTCACTTGAAACCCGTCACTGTGATATTGGATGCAGACTTCTCAAGCAATATCTTCACCACTGTGCCAAATGTCCACCCTCAGATTAATCTTATTAATATTAGCTCATAAACATAAACTAATAACAGAGTATAAAAAACATTGGTTCTATTGGTATTACAGCATAGTTTTAATATAAGCTAAATACAAACACAATCATTAACTATTCAGTCACTTATCCTGCAAAATATGCAAAGGCTACCCTTGAAAGTTTCATAAAAAACAAAATGTAAAAAATACCTTCCTCAATTAACTCTAAGAACTCTATATATACAAATGCAAAAATTAGTACTTGCCAATAATCACACCAAACTTTCAGTTACTGATTGAACAGTAAAAAATAATTGATTTTAACAACAAATAGTTCCAGGTAAAAAGCATGCTATTACCCATGTATACTATCTTTGTATTCTGCATAGAGTTCCAAGGCAAAGATTGCTTCTGGCTTTATGAATTATCACAGATGATGCCCTCTCTGGCTGACTTATCACAGGTCTTTTATTCTTCTTTCCAGACAGATCTTTAGCTTCTTTGGGAGGGGGCATATGAATTGGTTTCCATGGAATTGGATTACAAAAGGCTGGTTCTGGATAGGAATTCCCACTGTAAAAACCTAAAATTATTGAAAAATCAAAACAAAATAAAATATTTTCTTTAGACCAAAAAACAACCAACTTAAAAATTTCTAGAAAACAGTCAAAATATACTGATAAACCAATTTGACGAATTTAATATTTGAACTTGTGAATAGTAAATGTTAAAAGATAAATGAATCTAAGAATCCAAATGACAATAATGTTAAAACCTAGATAAGCAATATCTCCTACAAAAGTTTTACTAAGAAACAAATTTCACAACCATTAAATAAAAAAAATTTCATCTTTTTAACTCAGTATTGGAAATGACTGTTTACTAGTTTCCCTTGTAGACACTGAAGTTTATAGGAAAAAAAATTATTTTGCAGGGCGGGCCTTTAAAGTGGCAGTTAAGATGTGGTTTGGGAAGCTCACATCCCATATCTGAGTGCCTGGTTAGAGTCCTAACTCCTCCAATTCCGATCTAGCTTCCTGCTTCTGCACACCCTAAAAGGCAGCAGGTGACGGCTCAAGTAGTTGGGCTCATGCCACCCACATGAAGACCTAATCTGAGTTGTCGGCTCCTGGTTCCCAGCTTCAACCTGGCTCATCCCCAGCCACTGCAGGCATCTGGGGAGGAATCAGCAGTGCTCTTTCTATCTCTGTTTCTCAAATAATAAAAATAAAATTTTCAATTATTTTGCATATGCGGCTGGTGCCAAAACTCCAGAAAGTTTAACAGGGGCTGGCACCATGGCACAGTAGGTTAATCCTCCGCCTGTGGCGCCGGCATGCCATATGGGCACCGGTTCATGTCCTGGCTGCTCCTCTTCCAATCCAGCTTTCTGATGTAGTCTGGGAGAGCAGTGGAAGATGGCCCAAGTCCTTGGGCCCCTGCACCCGCCTGGGAGACCAGGAAGAAGCATCTGGCTCCTGGCTTCAGATTGGCAAAACTCTGGCTGTTGTGGCCATTTGGGGAGTGAACCAATGGACAGAAGACATTTCCTTCTGTCTCTCTCACTGCCTGTAACTCTCTCAAATAAATAAATAAAATCTTAAAAAAATTATTTTGCATATGTGGCTAAAGTGAATCAAGATTCTTGTTTAGAATTACTGGAATTCTGGATTGCTGTTACTCAAAATCATTTCACAATAGCACTGTAATTCTGATTAGTAATTATGGAGCACTGTACTGACGCATACAAATTGTTTAACCTTGTGAAAGAGGGACATTTTGCAAATCATCACCAAATCCTTCAGTCACTATATACACACAGATTTCAGTTCATAATTTTAGAAAATGTATTGAAGCTAAGAAATAGACACTTAAAATGAATATGGCATTTACAGACAAATTTGTACCTTTTTAGAATTAATTAAAAATGGAAAAATATTAATAAAATAATTTTTCTAGCAATTAATTTCTAGTTAATATATCCAAATCTTTAACTTTATTATCTAAACATCAGCTAAAAACCACTGCATTTTACTCTTTTTTTTTTAAACAAGAAACAACAAAAAAGGAACAGGCCATTCTCAGTAGCTATAATGGATGACCTCTGTGACATATGAGAGAGGCCTAATCCTGACAGCAGGAATGTGTCTTTCAGATACTGAAAACCACTCTGGCTGCATAGATATGTCAACACACACTTCACCAAGATGGTCAAAACAAAGTCTGGTATATGTTCTATTGTGTGAACAAAACAGAATGGGAGTATTTTTAATAATAAATCACTTAAACAAGTGAAGGCAGCTGTCAGCAAGGTATGAGCTTCCAACATGAAGCACAAAGGAAAACATGCACTACCATTTACAATCAGACCAAGCCTAAAGGCCAATGGTTTTTGTGTTTGGATCACATGCTCTCTAATATTTCACCCTGAAAAAAAAAAAAGTGCCAAAGGCATTGGAAGCTGCACCTTAGGAATGGTGAGAAGAGGAGGTAAAATGACCCCTTAAATATATCCTGATTAAGGCTTTATAATCACCAAAAATGTAAGGGAACTATACTTGTGTTAGAAATCATTAAAGCATATGTTTGCAGTTTTGCAACTACTGCCTTTAAGTGTATATATGCATATATATATATATATATATATATATATATGTTTGTGTGTGTCTATACATATCTGATTTAGAGAATGACAATACATTTGTAGTATATCCATAGCAACATAGTAGGTTATAATACAATTCTTCGAAAATAGTAATTTGAAAGAAAAACAATTTTTATACATTTCTATTTCTGTCAAAAAGAAACAAAATGTACAACATTTGCTTCTGGCAAACCATACTTATGTAAACCACATAACATAAAAACTAACCTGTAAGTTTTCCATTGGCATAACCATAGCTCTTTGCAGCTGGACGAGGTTTATTTTTTGCATTTTCCAACCATTCTTTAAACTTTTTTTCTGCTGTTTCCTTTTTCTCCTGTAATTCAGCTTGTCGTTGTTTTTCTTTTTCCTTAAAATGACAAGACCAAAGAATTTCCAAGGATATTCTATGACTAGATTTTCCCATTTAAATGCTACTGAATTTCAGCCCAGGTGCTTCCCACCTGAATGGATCACTCACCATGATGTTAAATAATTTGAGAACAAAATTATGTATGACAAGGGATGTGATATTAAGGTGACAGCAAATCCAAGAAAAAAAGCTATTTTCTATTTTAAAGGAATAGTAATGTATATAACACAATAACATGATTTTTCACAAAAATATTTAAAATCAATAATGGCAATGAAAAGTTTTGAGTTTGACTGAAAAATATTTACAGGCTTATTAATATTTCTCAACTTAAAGAAAACCACAAGTGAATATTTCAATCTGAAGGTTAAACAAAGCATAACAGAATAAATACGGATAGCTGCATTTATTTTACGCTAAGATAGTCCCAAATATGATTATATACTTTTTCAAAACTGTCACATATGAATACCACAGTCAGGTATTCTAACCAGTCACTTTAATAAAAATACCTTCTCTTTCTTCTTCTTCTCACATTCTTCAGCTTTTTTTTTCTTTAACCATTCTTGATATTTTTCTTTTGCTTTTTCTTGCAAATGTTCTTTCTCCAGTTCCTTTGCTGCCTTTTCTTCCATTTCTTTATTAATTTTTTCTTCCCTTTCTTTTCTTTTCTTAAATAAAAATAGAATTTTAATTGAAATATGCAATTATACACATCTAAGGAAGGGCTATTATATATATATATAGTAATTTTCTAAACTTCAATTATTTCTTAAAATAGGTGGTATCATGTTGATTAAAATAGGTTGGTACAATGTGGTTTATGAAAATAAATGAGTATAACATACCTGAAATTACCTGTTCAATGTCAGTTTACCTGCTGGGCTGTAAGTTTCATGAGGTCAGTGACAAAGATAATGCTTATCAACATATACGTAGAGCCTGGAGCAGTGCTAAGTAAATAGGCAATCAGTGAAGATTTGATGAATAAATTAGCAAATAAAAATTGCAATGCTAAATTATCCTGAATCTTATTTTTTTAATGCATATTTTCCCACACACAAAAGTAGAAGCCATAAATGTACGCATTTCCTGGATAGTTTACCACTACAAATACCTGGGTTAAATCTCACCATCATGAGCTATTGTTGTGACATAGCGGGTAAAACTGCTGCCTGAGATGCCAGCATCCCAGAGTGGCACTGGTATGAGTCCTGCCTGTTCCACTTCTGAACCAGCTGCCTGCTAATGTGTCTAGGAAAAGCAGTGGAAGATGGCCCTGCATCCACCGGGGAGACCCAGAAGAAGCTCCTGGCTTCAGCCTCTCCCAGTCTTGGCCATTGCAACCATTTGGGGAGTGAACCAGAGGATGGAAGATATCTCTCTCTCTGTGTCTTCCTGCTTCTTCCTCTCTCTGTAATTCTGCTTTCAAATAAATAATAAATATTTTAAAAAGCTACACAGGACAAATAAATAATGCCCATTAAATACTGTATGCCATGGGCACATACAGGCAAATCTCTGGCTATATAATTGTTTTTATTTTTTTTAAAGCTTTTATTTATTTATTTGAAAGGCAGAATTACAGAGAGGAAAAGAGACAGAGAGAGACAGAAAGATCACCCATCCACTGGTTCACTCCCCAAATGACTGCAAAGGCTGGAGCCAGGCTGATCTGAAGCCAGGCGCTTCATCTGGGTCTCCCACATGGGTGCAAGGACATAAGGGCTTAAGCCATCTTCCACTGCTTTCCCAGGCGTACTAACAGGAATTTGGGTCATAAATGGAGCAGCCAAGAACTGGCACCACAACTCCTATGCCACTGTGCCAGCCCCTTAGGCTATATAATTATTACAGAAACCAGAGGTCAGCAAACTAAGAGCCAAAGGTCAAATCTTGTCTACCAGCCAAACATTTGCGAATAAAGTTTTACAGGAATGTGGCTACTCCTATTTGTTTACATATTTATTGTCCATGGCTACTTTTGCACTGTAATAACAAAGTTGAATTTTTGTAACAGAGACTATATGGCCCCAAAAGCCTAAAATATTTACTATCTATACTGGTCCTTTACAGAAAAAAATTATTGATGTATGTTACAGAGTATACTCAATGTTTTTTCCTTTTCATTCAAAAGAAAATCTACCATACACCTGAATTCAAAATAACCAACACCATAGCTATTTCTTTTTTATCAAAGGCTCAGTAAATAATATACAAGACATAAAAGCATCCTTCATACAATATATGTTCAGTGCTATGTAGGAAAAGTAGGACTTCAAAATCAAAGCCTGAGTCAATCTGCAAGCTGCTGCATTCCCTTCTTGCTGGGCAGCCGGTATCTGTGAAACAGAATCTTTCCTGAGAACTCAATAGCCACTGCAACAATGCTGGACTTTAACAACTTTCCACTGTCAGGAAACTGAAAAAGATCTTGTAGCACATCTGGCTTGACCTGTGTGCCTCATGACTCTCTACAACCTCACAAGGAACTGTCAAAAAAGTTTTGACAATGTTTTTATTGAGTGCTAAATACTGAGTACTAATTATGGTTCTTAACCATTCTACATACTTCATGTGTATCAACTGAATTAATCAATTAGTCCCTACAATCTCAGAAAAAATACTACTATCCCATCTTACAAAGGAGGAAACTAAGGCACAAGGAGGGTAATTTGCCTACACATAGATGGTGAATGGCAGAGCACTACAGATCATACAGACACCAAATTTAGAGGATGTTAAAAACAATTTTTAGAAAAAAATTCAACAATTTAAATGAAATGTCAAAACTGCTTAAAATAGGGGTGGGTATTTGGCACAGCGGCTTGTTGCCACTTGAGACTCCCACATCCCAAATTTGAGTGCCTGATTCAAGTCCCAGCTACTCTACTTCCAATCCAGGTCCCTGATAACGTAATTCTTGGAAGCAACAGGCGATGATGATCAAGGACTTGGGTCCCTCCCATCTATGAGGGAAACCTGAATGGAGTTCTGAGCACCAGGCTTAGGCCTGGCCCAGCCTTAGCTGTTGTGGGCATTTGGGACATGAACCAGCAGATGGAAGATTGTCTGTCTCTCTCTCTCTAACCCCCTTTCAAACAAAATGAAAATTTAAAAAAAAACAAATTAACTCCTTAAAATTTACCATTCCCTAGAACTAACATAAGAAGAACTAGTCTGCATAACTGTCTACTTGTAAAAACAGTTCAAAATCTAAAACTTTTCCACAAAAAACTCCAGTCCTCCAGTCTCTAGATTTACTGTTAGATTCTATTACAACTATAAGGAATAAATAACTACATACATTAATTTATAAAACAAAGTTCCTTTATAAATTCAAGCTTATTTAAAGAACCCAGCACTATACTCATAGCAAAACCAGACATGGAAATTACAAGATAACACCAGAAACAAAGTTAACTGCTCTCATGACAAAAAAAAAAAAAAAAAAAAAAAATCTAGCACTTACAAAAGATTATAATACTAACAAACATTAAAAACTAAAAAATGCTGATGAAAATTTTAAAAATAAATGGAAAGAAAAATCATATTTATAGATTTAAAACTGATATTACTATGACAGCAATTTTTTCCACAACATGTTTAACACAATACCAATAGTGTCAGGCACTATTCAAGCAGGAATTACTAGGGAAACTGAAAAGATGATTCTAAATTGTATATGGAAAGATGCAGAGCAACTAAAACAAGTGTGAAAAAGAAGAAAAAGGTTGAGTGATTTACACTACGTGATTTGCTAGAGGCAAAGGGAAATTTCCCCTCTGCTCCAAAGGTCTGCTGGGATAAACTGGCAAAGGTTGAACAGGAGAAAAGGGATACAAATTTATTAACATACACAAGGGAGAAAAAAAATCAAAGCAAGGGGAAAATCACAAAAGTGTGATTACCCACTAAGTCAGCATTATTCAAAAGCTTATTTATTTAACCCTTTTTTTACAGGGGTAGAAATGTAGCCAATTTTGAGGGCTTGGGGGAGAAGGGCCATGAGGCAGACTATGGAAGATAGGGAATGATATGCACAGCAAGCAAGGGTTGTCTCAGTATGCAGATAAAGGCTCCTAGGTATGGTCAGGTGTCAGACCCCCAATTTCTTCTTTCCATGGAAAGAAGCTGGCATGGTGTGAGATGCACAGGTCTGCATCCACTGTTACTTTACTTTTGGACAGCTTTTCAGAATCATTCCTGTATCTGCAGAGTCTGCAGTTTCTCTAAATAACTGGACTATGCCAAAGAAATATATCTGAGAGACCAGCAATGTGGTATAGTGGGTAAAGCCACCACCTGCAGTGCCGGCATCCCGTATGGGCACCAGTTCAAGTCCCAGCAGCTACACTTCCAATTCAGCTCTCTGCTGTGGCCTGGGAAAGCAGCAGGAGATGGTCCAAGTCCTTGGGCCCCTGCACCTGTGTGGGTGACCTGGAAGAAGTTCCTGGCTCCTGGCTTCAGATCAGCCCAGCTCTAGCGGCTACAGCCACTTAGGGGGTAAACCAGCATATGGAAGACCTTTCTTTGTGTCTCTTCTTCTCTCTCTCTGTAACTCTACCTATCAAATAAATAAATAACATCTTAAAAAAAAAAAGAAAAAGAAAAAGAAAAAGAAAACTCTGGGGCTGGTTCCGTGGCACAGTAGGTTTAATCTTACGCCTGCGGCGCCAGCATCCCCTGTGGGTGCCGGTTCATGTCCCGGCTGCTCCTCTTCCAGTCCAGCTCTTTGCTGTGGCCTGGGGAAGCGGTGGGGGATGGCCCAGGTGCTTGGGTCCCTGCACCCACATGGGAGACCAGGAAGAGGCACCTGACTCCTGGCTTCGGATTGGCGCAGCTCCGGCCGTTGCGGCCATTTAGGGAGTGAACCAACAGAAGGAAGACCTTTCTTTCTTTCTCTCTCTCTCTCTCTCTCTCTCTCTCTCTCTCTCTCTCACTGTCTGTAATTCTACCTGTCAAATAAATAAATAAAATCTTTAAAAAAAAAAAAAAGAAAGAAAACTTAAATGGGAGGGAATGTTTGTATTATATACATCTGACAAAGGATTCTTACAATTTAACAATGCTAAGTCATATAGTCTCCAAAAAAATGGGAAAAGATTTAAATACATACAAAACTGAACAAAAACAGCCAACAACAAAAGGATATAGAATTAGTCAATAAGTATTATGGGCTGAATTGTGATGTCTCCCTAGCCCTTCAAATCCTATGTTGAAACTCTCATTCCCAATGTGACTATATTTTGGAGAGAGGACATTTAAAGAGGTAATTAAGTTCAAATCAGGTTATAAGTGTAGACTCCTATCAAAAGAGAAAGAGACATAAGGGATGTGTATGTAGAAAGAAAAGGCATTTGATGAGACAGAAAGACAGCCATCTGAAAGCCAAGGAGAAAGTTCCCCAGAGAAAAGAAACCCATAGACATGTTCTTCTTGATTTCCAGTCTCCATAACTGTGAGAGAATAAATTCCTGCTGTTTATTCAACCCAGTCTGTGGTACTGTGTTATGACAGCTCTAGAAGACTAATACAACAAGCTTAGGCAGATATGCTAAACATCATTAAATCTCAGGGAAATGAAAATTGAAACAACACCAATACTACAGTCTCAGTAGAAGGACTTAAAATGAAAAAGGCTGACAAAATCAAATTTGGCAAAGATGTGAAGCAATTGGAATTTTTATACAATAGTAATATGAATATATTGTGCAGCCCAGCAATTCAACTACTAGGCATTTACCTAACAGAAATGAAAATGTCCACAGAAATGAAAACAAAATGTCATAATTCATAATAGCCTAAAGCTGAAAACAACACAATTGTCTACCAGCTAGTGAATGGTCAACTTACTGTATTCCACAGAATACTACTTAGCAATAAGAAGGAACCAGAAATATATGAACTATCAGGATAGACTTAAAAACAAAAGAAGCCAAACACAAAAAAAGTATATTCTTTATCATTTTTATATGAGATTCTAGAAAATGTAAATCTAATTCACACTAACAAAGAGCAGATTAATGGTTTCCTTTGAGCTGGGGATGGCTGAGGACACAAGAGTGGGAGATAAATGCAAAAGGAGATAAGGGGGCTCTCGGGGGGGACAAAAATGTTCTCTATATTTACTACGGTGCTACTTAGTTACACAGGTATGTAAGTTGGTCAAAACACATCAAACTTGAGCAGGGGCATGTGGTTCAATGGTTAAGACACCCACATCCCATATCAGACTTTAAATCCCATCTTCACTTTCTATTCCAGTTTCCTGCTACTGTTCACTCTGAGAGCCAATAGGTGATGGCTCAAGTTCTTGGGTCCCAGATACCCACGTGAGGAACTCAGAACACGAGTTATTGGCCCCTGGCATTGGCTTGGCCCAACCCCGTATGTTTTGGGAATTTGGGGGAGTGAACTAGTGGATGGAAGATCTCTTTCTGTCTCTCTGTCTTAAAAACAAAAAATAAATAAATAAAATTTTAAAAAACTTAGCAAATTTAAAATATGTGTATTTGTGCAAATTATAGTTCAGTAAAATTGATTTTTTTTAGAAAACTCAGACTTTCTGTAGAATTTAAACTAGAGAAAACAATGTTTTCAGCCAGCCAAAGAACACAGCAGTATCTTTAATATGGATAGAGTAGCCAGCCACTGAGTATCTTCACATTTTCTAGCACCAGACACAACACAGTAATAAATCTTCCTCTTTCAAGATGGTGTCCTTTGTTTCTCAAAGATGGAGAACCATTGTTTCTTACAACTAAAGGAAACTTGGGAAACAACTGGCTACTTAAAACTTCTGACTTTGTTTTGGTTCCTCCAGTAGTACCTGGCACATAGTAAAAGCTGAGTAAATATTTGCTGAAAGCATGAATGATACACTGATAGTGTTATCAACAACATACCTTGTAGAAGTGAATTAATTTTTTACATTAAAAAAATCAGTTGTGCCTTGAGAATTTAACACAATTTTATTTTTAAATAACTTTCTTAAAAAAACTGAAAGTAGGATTCTTTAAAAAATATGTGGTAACACATAAAAAGCAAATCTAGAAAATAAATGAGTATGGTACCACAAATGTAAGAGAACCAGTTGAGATAAGCCATTTATTATGAAAAAGATTTAACAATTTATAGTCATATTATAAGAAACTGGCTTTGCTAATGGATACATAAATTCTTTTTGTCTGATTTTTTGTTATAAAACAGTGAACACGACTTAGAAAAAAACAGCAGTCACAGATACAGCTAAAACGTGAATGAAGCTGGAAGCAGCAGAGGACCACACACCATGCAATGTAAACAGAAGAGAAAAAAGCTAGATGCCAGACAGGAAGAGAAGAACCAGGAGAACAGTCTTTACAAATAGAGGTAAATGTAACTAAGGCTGAAATAAGAAATCTGATAGGTTTTAAAGAAAAAAGAAAGTTAGAGTAATCAATTATTCCTTAACATGTAAGAGTTGTGCTGAGAAGGTAAATTTCATTTCTCAGTGTTCATTTTTGAACTATTCGCAACCTTATGGAATTTTGCCTTCAATAATTAGTGATTTACGTGAGGGCAAGCCAGTTTCCTCCAAAAGAAAGAATTTTTTTCCCTTCAAATAATTGGATTAGGTCTACTGCCACTAATTAAAACAATGAATGTATCATCTATCTCTCAGCAGTATCTTAAATTCTTAGACAAACAACAACTATGATTGGCATGGTAACATTAGCTTAATGGAGTTAGAAGATAAGAGAGGCTTTTAGAGGAGCAAGCATACTATTCTGCAGATGTAAAACCATTTTGTTTTAAAGTTATAAACTTAGAATAAGGTACCATCTAAAGTTTGGTAATAGTCACAGACTTATTTTATTTCAGTATTTATTCACAAAGCAGTTTCTTACTACACTATGGAATGAAACAAACTAAAAATCACAATCATTGATTTCTGATATAACCAGCACATACTTTTATGGTTACAGCACATTTCCTTCTTATCATACCTAGATGCAAAAGCTATGTCATCTTTAATTTACTGAGCCTATTTACTTGATAATCCTATTGACTACTACTGGACTTTAGACTAAACAATAGTTAAGGACAAAAAATAAAATTGAAATTTTTAAGCTCTGTCTGTAATTTAAACATCTGTCCAAATTCATAAAATTAAATAATAAAAGCAGTGCCATTCTAAATATGTAAAAATTACAGCAGGAAACAAATCCATAACAGAATAAGTATTGCTTAACTTTCTATGTGTAACCCAAAAATAAGACTGCATTAAAATTGAAAGAAAAATCATCCACACATTCATTTATTCAATTAACATGTGCATACTATATGCAAAGCATTGTTATACCTTATAATGGTAAAGGCAGTATAAAAAATAGCTTCTATTAAGCTAAATATTAATAGCAACAAAAATGTATATACATAAAACAGAAGGCAGCTTATGCTAAGGTGCATAAGAGTAGTATAAACTGAACAAGGATTCATAGGAAAGACTAGCATGTGATCAACAAATTCTTCACGAAGAATGAGGCCACGTGTTAACATGAAAATATGGAAGTGAGAAATAGTACTAAGAACAAAAGTACTATGGAAATTCCTCAAGAACACATTTTCAGGGGACTAGCAAACAGAACCTAAAAGCTCAAGATTTCTATGAAATCTAGAAAAATAATGTATAATTTATGTTCTCTATTAACAGATTTGTGCTTGTTCTAGTATACAAATAAAACATTTTTCCTCTCAAGATTTTCCAGTAGAAATAATATTGCATGAGAATAGACCATGATTATCCAGGACATGTTCCCAAAAGAACCGCAATAGGAAGCAACAGCATGATATCAAAGGAGTGACAGGAGGGGACACAGCTGAAATGAAAGCGTTAGCCAGTTAGAACAGGGATGCAGTGGGGCCAGCTGTGGCACAGAAAGTTAAGCCTCCTCCTGAAATGTCAGCATCACATGGCCACCAGTTCAAGTCCCAGCTGTTCTACTTCCAATATAGCTCCCTACTAATATGCCTGGGAAAGCAGAGGAAGATGACCCAAGTACTTGGGCCCCGCCCCCACCCACCCAAGTGGGAGACCAGAAGAAGCTCCTAGCTCCTGGCTTCAGCCTGGCCCCGCCCCAGCTGTTCAGGTCATTTGGGGAGTGAACCAATGAATGGAAGATCTCTCTCTCTCCCTCTCTGTATCTCAGCCTTTCAAATAAATAAGTATATCTTTTTAAAAAAATTTTATTCAGAGGACAGGGGAGAATCATAAAAAATACTTTTTGCTCTGGAGAATGGCATGCCAGACTTCTTCAGCAAGATTAGTCTGGCAGAGATGTAGTGAATGAGTTGATTCATTCAAAAAATATTTGGCCCTATCTGTATATGTGTCAGGTACTGATTTAGTTGCAGGAAAAATGAAAACAGTATAAATCCCTGACCTTAATGAACTTATATTCTAGTATGTGAAAGTAGGCAAGAAATAAGTTAAAAAATATAATGAGGGGACCAGCGTTTCAGTATAGAGGATAAAGCCAATGACTGTAGTGTAGCCATCCTATATGGACACCAGTTCGAGTCCCAGCTGTTCCACTTCCATTCCAGCTCCCTGTTAATGGTCTGGAAAAAGCAGCAGCAGACAGCCCAAGTCCATGGGCTCCTGCAATCCATGAGGGAGACCTAGAAGCTCCTGGTTCCTAGCTTCGGCCTGGTACAGCCCTGGTCACTGCGGCCATTGGATACTGAACCAGCAAATGGAAGATCTCTATTTCTCTGTCTCTCCTTCTCTCTCTTTATAACTCTACCTTTAAAATAAATAAATAAATCTTTAAAAGAGAAGAAATGATGAGATCATTCAGGAAGAGGGTGGTAGTAACTGTTAAAGAAAAAAAAAAGGGAGATGAGGGGCCAGGGTTGTGGCACAGTGGGTAAAGCTTCACCTGCATTGCCACATCCTGTATCAGAGTGCCTGTTCACGTCCTGGCTACTTCACTTCTGATCAGCTCCCTGTTAATCTACCTGGGAAGGCAGCAGAAGATGGGTCCCTGCCCTCCATATGGAAGACCAGGACAGAGCTTCTGTCTCCTGGTTTTGGCCTGGCCCAGATCTGGATGTTGAAGTCATTTGCAGAGTGGACCAGCAGACTGAAGATCTCTCTTTTTCTGTCTCTCCCTCTCTTTCTGTAACTCTACCTTTCAAACAAATAAATGAAAAAGAAAGAAAAGGAAATGATAACCAGGAACAACATAGGAATTCTGATTCTGTGAGGTAAATCAGAAGGCAAAAGAAATAACAACAGAAACAAGGGAGATAGGAAAATGGTTCCATGAAGGGAGAATGGACAAAAATGGAATCATTTTGGATATGCAGGCTAAGAATTGGCCATTGACCTAATAGACAGATACTAGGGGATGACACAGGAGGGAAAAATGACAGAATTAGAGGGCAAAAGGCATAGACAGAGATTTGATAAATGTCCATGATGGTTGGGGGAAGTAGGGAATACCAGAGAAGAAAGAATCTAAGAGAAAAAGAAGAAAAACCTAGGTAATGAGGGATAGGCCTGCCAAAGAGATATCAGCATATGTTTGTGTGTGCATTTTTTACCTGTTCATTCTTTTTCTGAACCCATTCCTTGTGCTTTTCTTCAGCAATTATCTTTCTTTTTTCACGTTCTTCCATTTCTTTTCTTTTTTCTAGTTGTTGATTTAATTCCTGTAGATTTTATTTAAACAAAAGATAGCATTTAACAGAAGTACCCAAATCACATAGTTTTAAAAAAGCTAAGGTTAATCAAATTAAACAAGAATATAGTTCCCTTTACAGAACACATACTAACGGTGACAATAACTATTTAAGTAACTAGTATATGATGAAAGCAAGCACTGGTAAAAATCATTTTTTAGAAATATATATAATTGCTTGGCAGCAATACACTAGTTTCTTAGACTAAACTTCAACTAAATTACCCTCATTGAAATCAACTTTCCCACACATAAATTTTGGCATCGTTGCAAGCTATTGGCAGTAGCTCAAGAGAATTGCAACTTTTTTTTTTTCACGGTTATAAAAAGCTTCTAGATTCTTAACGAAGATAAATGATAGGAATTAAGTAATCCCTAAATTAAAATTCTAATTCAGAGTTAAACCAAAGGAGAAACATAAGGAAGCTATTCAATTTTCCTTAGGGAAAAAAGAATCCAGAGTTTTCTTCACTGATTTTATAGCTTGTGGAATATAAAATAAAACCACATTCATATCCCAGGTTATTTAACTGCCTTGCTTTCACTCGAATCTACACGTTTGGGCATTCTTCAGGGGAAAGAATGTGAAAGGTATGGCCCAATAAAACTATGAGTTGAATGCCACCACTCTGTCACTCATCAGGGAAATTACTGCATTAGTTGAGGATGTTGTTCAAACTAGACTTCTCTAGGAACTCTACAACCATAATTGCTGGTTATTTCTCTTCTCTCTTTAGATACTAATAATTAGATACTTTTGCATATCTTCTATTGGTCTGCTATTCTTCACCTTTTCCCTCTTTTTCTCAAAGACCTACCTATCTGGATATGGATAGGAGAGGGAAGGAAAGTTTCATAACTCTCAGACTGATTCCCGTGTTTTAAATAAAGGTAAAACATGACATCATGATTTACTTTTGCATTTTAGAATGGCTGCTCACAAGATACTTGTCTTCCACAATCTCTCCTCAAAATTCTGTTGCATAGAAAATAGCTACGCCCCTGGCCAGCGCCGTGGCTCACGAAGCTAATCCTCCACCTGCGGCTCCGGCACCCTGGGTCCTAGTCCCGGTTAGGGCGCCGGATTCTGTCCTGGTTGCTCCTCTTCCAGTCCAGCTCTCTGCTGTGGCCCGGGAAGGCAGTGGAGGTTGGCCCAAGTGCTTGGGCCCTGCACCCGCATGGGAGACCAGGAGGAAGCACCTGGCTCCTGGCTTCGGATCGGTGCAGCGTGCCAGCCGCAACGCACCGGCTGTAGTGGCCACTTGGTGGGGGTAAACCAATGGAAAAAGGAAGACCTTTCTCTCTGTCTCTCTCTCTAACTCTGCCTGTCTTTAAAAAAAAAATAGCCACCCTCACTTCCCTCAGAAAGTGTTCCAACTTTTCAACTCTATTTTCCCAAAAGCAAATATCCATCTTGGTTTTTAAGGATTCTTTACCCTCTACAGTTATTATTCCTTTATTATTCAATACATCTTTATGAAGTACCTACTATTGAGCTAGCAAGAACTAAGATATCTATGTGTGTATGCATGTATTTATCTATGTATCTATTGAGATAAAATACTAGAAACCTTGATCTAACCTGTTCTTCAAGACATCAAGTAATTAAGTGCTACATTTTAAGTTATTGTCTATAATAGGAAAGGTATGACGAAGAGAAATAGTGTAGTCAGAAATGGGGCCGCCAGCATTGTGGTTTAGTGAGTTAAGCTGCTGCCCAAAATGCCAGATCCCGTATGGGTACTGGTTCAAGTCCAGGCTGTTCCACTTCTGATCCAGTTCCCTGCTAATGCACCTGGGAAGAAGGGGAGGATGGCCCAAGTACATGGGCTCCTGCACCAATGTGGGAGACCCAGATGAAGCTCTTGACTCCTGGGTCCCAGCTGTTGCAGCCATTTGGGAGTGAACAATAAATAGAAGATCTCTCTGTCTCTCTCTTTGTCTCTACCTCTCTTTCTCTGTAACTCTTACAAATAAACAAAATTAATCTTTAAAAAAAGAAAAGAAATGAGCACAATGAGGAACACTGAAAGATGATTTGAAAGGAAGGGAGTGACTGAGTGTGCAGAAAAAATTAGAGTGTGGTATTAACTAGATGGAAAAAGAATGAAACAGATACAGCAAATAACATTATGAAGTGAAAATACAAAGCAAAAGAGAAGATTTGACACTCTTTGTGACAAAGGCTGAAGGATGCATTTAAAGGATCAGAACTATTCTGAGGCAGATAGACTAGGAGGCTGCAATATGAGTTGCAAGAGGAAGAAAATCTGGACTTGTGTCAAGAAGCATGGAAAGGGAAAAATATCTGATACTTTATGTATTATACAGATATCTGATGACCTATATTTTTATGTACAATACAGATAGAGATATACTGACTTGACAGATTATATAGCCAATTTCCAAGTCTTAATTTTTATTTAAGAAAACTTCAAATGTATGAATAAAGACACAGTTAATTACATTTACATACCTTTTAAAGATTCTTCATAAAACTAAATTTAAAAAATAAGAACTTGTACTCCTACTTTATGGTTGCCAAATTTGAGTTAATGTTGACAGAGGGATTAAAGAAGGAAGGGTCAAAAAGTACCTAGAAAAATGTAACCACTGTCCCAAATAGTGCTCCATCTTCAGCAACTATGTTCAAATAATTTGCCAACTGGGAATATACATCACATTGTGAAACATAACCTTCTCTTCCAAGGCCAGTGTTTTTTAGAATTTACCAGTCTGATGAGTCCATCTCAGCCATGGCTGTTGTGGACATTTGGGCAGTAAGCCAACGGAAGGAAGAGTTCTCTGCCACTCCCTCCTTTTCTCTCTGCTTAAAATCAGAATTAGCCAAATACCATATATAATTTAGGGCAGCTGGCTAGGAAATGTTTTCAAGTAATAAAAATATAAATAAAATGACCTACAAAACCAATATGCTAGTTTTTCATAATACTAATGTTAATTGCTTAATATATTTATTATCTTAACAACAGTAACAAATGTATAAGATGCTGGAAATTTTGTAATTTTAATGGTTTAAAATAACGCTTTAAAGATTTATTTACGTATGTACTTATCTGAAAGGTGGAGCAACAGAAAGAGAAGGAGAGACAGGGAAAGAGAGAGATCTTCATCTGCTGTTTCATTCCCCCAATAGCTACAATGGCAAGGGCTGAATGGCTGAAGCCAAGAACTTTGAACTCCAATGGGGTCTTCTATGTGGATGGCAGAGGCCCAAGTACTTAGGTCATCTTCCACTGCTTTCCTAGGCACATTTGCAGGAAGCTGAGCAGCTGGGACTCTAACCAGTGCTTTGATAAGGAATGTAAGCATTGCAGGCTGCAGCTTAACTACACCATAATGCCGACCCTTAAAATAATTTTTTTATTCAATCCCACAGAATCTGAACAAATTGAAAGATCAGTTGCTGAAATCAAATTTAAGAATGGGGGTGATATTTTTAATGATCCAATCACCCTACAGGTTTTTTTTTTATTATTTAAAATTTTAAAATTTATTTTCATTTATTTGAAAGGCAGAGAGATAGGGACAGACAGAAACAAATCAACCATCAACTGGTTCACTCCCCTAAGTGTCTACAACAGGCAGAACTGGGCCAGGCCAAAGCCAGGAACATGGAACTCAATCCAGGTCCCCCACTTGAGAGGCAGAGACCCAAGAACCTGAGCCACTACTTGCTCCTTCCCAAAGTATACATTAGCAGGAAGCTGGATCACAAGCCAAGACACCCTGATAAAAGATGTGGGCATTCCAAGCTGTGGCTAGCCACTGTGCCGAAAATCTACCCTATCATTTAATTTAAAGGATGAAAATAACAAAGCTGAACTAAGTTCAAAAACAAATACAAACTCTGATGCATTTAATTCCCAAGTACGATATTGTGGAAAAAACATTTGAATTGAATGTCAAAAGAATTAGATTCCATTCCCATATCTGTTACTAACTGACACCTCTGCAAAGCTGTTTTTCTGGCCTTCAGGCTTTTTAGCTTCAATAGGAATATGAGACTAACAATTCCTTATGGTTAAAAATTTATGCTTTTAATGATATGGGTTGTAAACAAATTAGGGGATATGGTAAACAAAGACAGAAAAATAGGACTTAGAAAACAAAGAAGAAAAGTCATGAAAACAATGTGAATAGAATAGCTCAAAATGAGCTAACAAGGAGTTGACTAGTTGGCCTATAATACCTCTGGTATGACAGAAATATAAGACTCGTGTTAAAATACTTTATTTATTTCAGAGTTAGGTAATGAAGTAGTCATAAGAAATGCCAAACTAATACTGATCCATGAAAAGGTTTTAATCTGTCAACCAAATTACCAGTAACTATATTTTGCTAAATGCTTCATCAAGGTTGTGAGGACTCTATGTTCATTATTTTAACCTATTCTCAACACAAATATTCACCACAGTTATTATTATCTCCTTTCACACACAAAAATAACTTTTACAGAGGGCATCCTATGTACCAGGCTTGAGGTTCATTTAGGCATTATGATGCAAATATGATTCTGCCTCTTTCACTGATTAAGCAATTGAGGCACAAATGTTAACAATTTGCCTAAATTCTCATTTTTTTAAAAAAAATGTAAAAGATTTATTTATTTATTTTAAAGAGTTACATAGAGAGAGAGGAAGAAACAGATCTTTCATCCACTGTTTTCACTCACCAGATGACAGCAACAGCTGAGTCTGGGTCAGGCTAAAGCCAGGAGCTAAGAGCTTCATTGAGTCTCTACGTGGGTGGCAAGGGCGCAAGTACTTGGGCTATCCTCTACTGCTTTTCTTAGGCCATTAGCAGGATTGGAGATATAGCAGCCTGGACACAAACCAGTGCCCATGAGGATTTCAGTGTTGTATGTACTGGCTGTACTCACTATGCTGGCCCCTAAATATTAATGCAGAAATGATCACTCAAGAACTTGTGCTTTTGGGGCCTGCACTGTGTTGTAATGGGTTAAATTGCTGCCTGCCATTCTGTTATCCCATATGGGTGGCCAGTTTGGGTACAGGCTGTCCCACTTCCAATACAGCTCCCTTTTAATGCACTTGGGAAAGCAAAAGAAGAGGGACCAAATGCTTGGGCCTTTGTTACCCACAAGGGAGACCTGGATGGAGTTCCAAACTCCTGGCTTCGGCCTGGCCCAGCCCAAACCGAGTTGGCCGTTTGGGGAATGAATCAGCAGATGGAAGATATCAGCAGATGGAAGGAATCAGCAGATGGAAGATATCTCTCTCTCTCTCTCACCTTAAAATAAATAAATCTTTGAATTTGTGCTTTTAACCATTTCACTACTGCTTCTCTATCATCTGGCTTAAAGATGAAGAAACCAATACCAAGAAAATTTAAGTAATTTTCGCAATGTCACACATTCAGAAAGGTAAAACTTCAGTTTTGTTGTATGTAACTCCAAAGCCCAGGCTCTGCCACTAGTTTTCTGTACTTTAACTAACAACATTCTTTGTATACTGACTGAAAATGAAAGTGATTGAATGAAAATGACTAGAAGTGACCCTCTTTTTCTTCATGTAGTTAAGTGACTACAGATCAAGCAAATATATAAACGAACTCTGCTTTACTACTAACTCACTAGACCATCAGTGTTTTCTAAGTGATGAGCCCAAAGTCAATTTATTTTTTTAAAGATGTTTGTTTATTTGAAAGGAAGAGTTACACACACACAGAGAGAGGGAGATAAGGATATACAGAGAGAGGTGTTTCATCTGCTTATTCAAATAGCCACAATGGCCAGGGCTGGTCCAGGCTGAAGCCAGGAACTCAGAACTCCATCTAGGTCTGCCTTGTGGATGGCAGAGGCCCAAGCGTTTGAGCGATCTGCTGCTGCCTTCCCAGGCATATTAGCAGGAAGCTGGATCAGAAACAGAGCAGTCAGGACTCTAACGAGCACTCTGATATGGGATGCTGGCATTGCAGGGAGTGACTTAACCTACTGTGCCACAGCACGGGCTCTGAAAGTCAATTTAATGAGTTTGATCAGCCTTCAAAAAAGAGCAACAGAATACAATACTGGGTTTTGCACAAAGTTAAGACATTTTTTTCAGACACATTTCTATATAGGTAAGCTTTAATGTGTAACAAAGAAAAAATAAAGATTCCTCACTGTTAACAAATGTTTTTTAAAGCCATTTCAATGAAAAATGGAACTAATAAATGTTAAATTTTTTTTTTTTTTTGACAGGCAGAGTGGACAGTGAGAGAGAGAGAGACAGAGAGAAAGGTCTTCCTTTGCCGTTGGTTCACCCTCCAATGGCCGCCGCGGCCGGCGCGCTGCGGCCGGCGCACCGCGCTGATCCGATGGCAGGAGCCAGGAGCCAGGTGCTTTTCCTGGTCTCCCATGGGGTGCAGGACCCAAGCACCTGGGCCATCCTCCACTGCACTCCCTGGCCACAGCAGAGGGCTGGCCTGGAAGAGGGGCAACCGGGACAGAATCCGGCGCCCCGACCGGGACTAGAACCCGGTGTGCCGGCGCCGCTAGGCGGAGGATTAGCCTAGTGAGCCGCGGCGCCGGCCATAAATGTTAAAATTTAAAGTGGAGGTAAGAGAAGGAAGAGTCCAAGGTCTCAAAAATACACATGAAAAATGAATGAAAAAGTCTTAAGAAGGCTATAAATTAAGCAATAATATAAATAATAACAATAAATAAAGCAAAATAATCCATCTTTATACTTTGGTTCACTTAACCCTTACAAAAATCCTGTGCCACAGGTATTTATTTTATTCCTTTTATACAGATTCGGGAAATTGAAGCAAAAAAATTGAAATAACTTGTCTAAGATCACTTAGCAAGTAAAAAGGCTAGAACTAGGGCTTTTACTAAACCTTCCTGGCACCAAACCATAAAGTCTCTCTCAAGCCCTGTACCCTGCTAAGAGAAAAGAAATGCTATTCAGTACAATTATCCAGGAATTCTAGAATATGAAGTATCATGCAATAGGGAAACAGTACAATATAACTGTTTCACAATCATCTGAATCATACCAAGCCTTCTGAACATGTGACTGCCTAACTGGTTGGAAAGTCAATGTAAAATGACAACTAGTTTCAAAACTAATATGGAAAACATATTCTACAGAAGATGGTGAGGGGCAAACTTTAGCTCCCCATACTTTTTTGGCAACAAGTTACTAACAGACTAGAAAAAACTGAAATACTCAACCATTATTAACTGGTTAACTAAAATATATATTTAATACACCTTAAGTATAATTTAGGATTATTAGGCAGCTATTTTTAACTGACATTATAAAATATTTAATGGTATAAAAATGATATAAAAACATATTAATAGAAAAAGTAGGTTACAAAAAAGTTTGATCCCATTTCATTAACAATTAAAAGTATCTCTCATTATTCAAATCTATTTGGTTTCTGTTACTGAGTTTTGATAGTGAGTTTAGGGGATGCCAAATGATTCCAATGTACTTGGTTGGGAGGTATTCAATAGCAAATAGTAAATAGCAAATACCAAAGAGTTCAAAGAATGAGGTATCTGAGTGAAAACATATCTACATTTTTGAATTTGGCTAGGGAGAATCGAAGAAAGAGAATCACACACAGAGAAAACTCCATAAGCAAAGCAGGAAGGTACATAGAAAATGAAAACACCCCTCAGGTAATCAGCACATTCTCACTGCCCAGCGCACACTCACTCTGGGGCACAAACTATGAGTAACATGAGAGTAAATTCTGCCTCTATTTTGATTTTTGCTTCAGTAAAGTTAAAATTTTTACTGAGTATATTTAGTTGAATATACCTTAATTTAACATACATATGGTAAAGTCCCATTGTAGTTCTGTATCTATAAATTTGTACATTTAAAAAAATTCACATAGATATTCTGGAACACTACACATCATAATATTAATAATGGTAGATTTTAATTTTCTTAGTTACACTTAGCTGAATTTCCAAAGTGCTTTTCTAATTAACATATATCACCTCTATATTAAGAATCAAAAACTGCTAAATTGACATAAAGACAAACCTCTTTTCAGAAATGATAACAGTAACATTTTAATTGGCAATACCACTCTAGTTTGTGAGCCTATGGATTAAACAGAAAGAATACCAACTAATTTTACCTCTAGAGCTTTCTGTTGTAGCCGGTCACGTTCTTCTTTTTCTTTGCCAACAAACCACACCTCCCATGGTGTCAGGCTACTTTCTTGTAAGAACACCTGTTTCTGTTCTTTTTGGTTATCTTCTGATTCAACCTCATTGCTGTAAGAGAGAGACTACTTCAGGACTTGTACACAAAACTCTTTCCTAATTAAAAAGTCACTTTGTACAGTGAAAGCAAAATTGAATATATTTACAATCCTGTGATTTTTACAAACATATATGCATTAATTATATCTATGGGATCTTTAAAGTAAACTCATACTAACTTTTAAAACATCATTAACAGGATCTATTTGAATAGCTAAGGATAAGACTTATCAATCCAGAATGAATTGTGTGAAACTGAAGCAAAACCAACTCCAATTAATGGTGAAGCTTGAGTGGAAGAATGGTAAAATCATTGATCCTTTATGAAAAGTTTATGGGAACAATGCTCCCCAAATCAGTAGTTAACGTACAGATAACTTGTTTTAAGACGGGATATGAAGAGGTTGAAGATAAAGCCTTCAGCAGCAGACCATGTATATCAGTTGGAAGAAAATTAATCTTCTTGGTTCTCTAACTGAAGATGACTAATAATTAACAGCAGAAACAGCAGCCAAACACCATAGACATTTTAACGGTTTTAGCTTACATAATTCTGAATGAAGCAAACTTTCCACTCTGCTCAATGGGTGCCAAACTGTTGCAACCAAATCAGTTGCACACAAGAGTAGAGTTTTCAATGGAAATTTGAAATGAATGGGACCAAGATCCTGAAGCATTTTTTCCAAGAATTTTAATAGGAAAGGAAACAGGACTTTTACCAGCATAATCCTGAAAACAAAGCACAATCAAGGCAATAGCTACCAAGAGGTAGGCACAGTCCAGTCAAAGCAGAAGCAGACAGGTCAAAAGCAAAAGCTTTTTTGAGATGCTCAAGGCATTTTGCTGGAGGGTGAAAGAACGATAACATCTTACTCTGACTGTTCTGAGAAAGCCGGCTAAAGCTTTATCAGAAAAATGCCAGGGAAAGCTTTACCAGAGTTCACCTCCACCACAACAAAATTCCTGCAATTTTGCAAGAGTTTCAGTGGGATATCAATAGGCATCTACTTCACAGCCCTCATTTGGTTCCTCTAAATTCTTTTTATTTCCTAATCTTAAAAATAATATCACAAGGAAACCTGTTTTTCTTCACTTAATAATATAAGACTACACTGACATGGTTAAATTCTCAGGACACTCAGTTCTTTAGGGATGGACTAAACAGCCAGTATCATTGCTTACAAAAGTGTCCTGAACTCTACAGAATGTATGTTCAGAAATAAGGTTCATAATTTTTAGTTTTCATCTTTTATTTCCATTTTTTTGATAAACTGTTTAAAACTCTCCACATGAAAAAATAATGAAAACAGAATCCGGTATTTGAATTACTTTATCCATCAAACTGCCTTTGGATTCCTCCACTTTTTTTTTTTTTTTTTTTTTTTTTTGACAGGCAGAGTGGACAGTGAGAGAGAGAGGCAGAAAGAAAGGTCTTCCTTTTTGCCGTTGGTTCACCCTCCAATGGCCGCCGCAGCTGGCGCGCTGTGGCCGGCACATTGCGCTGATCCGAAGGCAGGAGCCAGGTGCTTCTCCTGGTCTCCCAGGCAGGTGCAGGGCCCAAGCACTTGGGCCATCCTCCACTGCACTCCCGGGCCATAGTAGAGAGCTGGCCTGGAAGAGGGGCGACCGGGACAAAATCCGGCGCCCCAACCGGGACTAGAACCCGGTGTGCCGGCGCCGCAAGGCGGAGGATTAGCCTATTGAGCCACGGTGCCGGCCGGATTCCTTCACTTCTAAAATCACATTATTTAAAAACTCACTGGGATAACTCAAACTCAGTCCATTTACATTAATGTCAAAGACTTTAATTCCTAAAAATCTTATCTGGATAGCTAATTAAAATATATAAACCAATTCACACTTGGAGCAGATTTTTCCTTTTCCTTCCTTAAACTGTACAGGAAAAACAATAGTATATATAAACACAGAGGGAATGATAAAGCAAATGTGTTAACAATTAGAAATTCTCCTTTCAACTTTTAAGTCTGAAATTATTTTGAAAGAAAAACTACCAAAAATTATGACTCTTCCCTTCTTTAATATTTTGATTAACTCCTTTATCTAATTCTTTAACAGAGTATATAAAAGTCTCTAGTATGGTTTCCTTCTACCATAGCCTCCATTTCCACCATGCACCTTCCTTCTGTCAGTATGTCTCTTCTGAGTACAAAGAACAGTAACTATGGGGCCAGCAGTGTGGTGCAGCAGGTTAACGCCCTGGCCTGGAGCCCCAGCATCCCACATGGGCACCGGTTCAAGACCCAGCTGCTCCATTTCTGATCCAGCTCTCTGCTATGGCCTAGGAAAGCAACGGAAGATGGCCCAAGTCCTTGGGCCCTGCAAACGCATAGGAGACCTGGAGGAAGTTCCTGGCTCCTGGCTTCAGATCGGTGCAGCTCCTACCATTGCAGCCTATTAGGGAGTGAACTATCGATGGAAGACCTCTCTCTCTCTCTCTGCCTCTTCTCTGTGTAACTCTGACTTTCAAATAAATAAATCTTTAAAAAAAAAAAGTAACTACTTATTTAAGCTAAAACAAAGGGAGGGAATAAACTATAAGCACATATGTAAATAAAGAACAACACAGGGCCTCAGTTAGTTACAGAAGTCTAAAAATCTTAGCGAAGCTTAACAATCAGCACACATAGAAAGAAAAGGTAGTTAAAGACCCAAAGCAACTCTAGACACAAGTTTATTCCAGGCTCTACTCTTTGTTTAACATTCCTGCTTCTGGCAACCAACTGCCTTGCCCACTACTTTTCTACCTCATCGACATGGCTTACTCATTTTTTCTTGCTACTATTATTTCCTCACTTATCTATGCCATTATGGAATCTGTATTCTAATGGGAAAGAGGTACTATTGATGGGCTATTTCTTGTACATATTTTCCATGGCAGTGTTGCACAAAGACCTCCTGTGCTTCCATTTTCAACTATCAACTCCATGCTGATGATGCAATTGCAAGCCAGAACTTCGGAGTTCCAAACTGCAATTTCCAATGACCTGATAGACAGCTTTACATAGATGGCAAACTCAATCAGTTGAAAGCAAATCTAATCATCTCCCATCATTCACCCATCACCTTCCCCATTAAGAAAAAACTGACTCGAGCCGGCGCCGTGGCTCAATAGGCTAATCCTCCACCTTGCGGCGCCGGCACACCGGGTTCTAGTCCCGGTTGGGGCGCCGGATTCTGTCCCGGTTGCCCCTCTTCCAGGCCAGCTCTCTGCTATGGCCAGGGAGTGCAGTGGAGGATGGCCCAGGTGCTTGGGCCCTGCACCCCATGGGAGACCAGGAAAAGCACCTGGCTCCTGGCTCCTGCCAGGATCAGCGCGGTGCGCCGGCTGCAGCGGCGGCCATTGGAGGGTGAACCAACGGCAAAGGAAGACCTTTCTCTCTGTCTCTCTCTCTCACTGTCCACTCTGCCTGTCAAAAAAAAAAAAAAAAAAAAAAAAAAAAAAGAAAAAACTGACTCCTCTTTTATAATCCTACCTTTTATAATCCTAGCTTTCATCTAGCTAAGGTAGAAGAGTACCACTTAAATGTATCACTATTATCCAAGCCAGAGGTAAAGACGCTGATGCTCAAGACACTTGCATTGCATATCAAAGTGCCTGGATTCAAGTTCTGGTGTTACTGTCATTTTAGCTTCCTAATTCACATCCTGGAAGGCAGTAGGTGATGGCTCTTGAAGTTACCCAAATCAGAAATATAGATGTTCAACTTTACCTGCTTCCCTTCCACATCTGTTTTCTTGTACCTCTTATTCCACATGATCACCTTTTGTCAATTCCACCTCTTCCATTTTTTCAAGCCATTCTTTTCTTTACCAACTTTATAACCACTCTCTGGAAATAACCCTCCCTTCCTAACTATTTTCCACACCTGCTGCAGGATTCATCCATTAAATGAATCGTGTCATGTCACTCCCCCCATCTTCAATGGCTCCTTTGTCTATAGGATGAAATTCAAACTCCTTAGCCTCACATCTATGAACTGCCTATCTTCCTGCCTCTTTACAGACTCTGTATTTGTCATGCTGAACTCCTGAAGGTTGATGAATGTGTCAACATTTATGATGTGCAACTTTTGCCTAAAACTATGAAAACTCCTTTCCTCTGCCTTCACAGATGGCCAGGGTAACAGCTTAGATTTTGGAGTAAAATAGTCTATGGGTACTTCCTACCGGCTGTTTCTTGGTTGCATACACTATTTTTTTTTTTTAATTCAAGAAACAGAGAGACAAGGACAGGCAGAGTTAGCTCCCATCTGTTGGTTCACTCCCCAAATGTCCATAGCCAAGACTGGGCTGGGCCAAAGCCAGCCCAAGAACTCAATCCATTTCCCATGGGGTAGAGGGGAAAACCTGAGCCATCATCTGCTATTTCCCAAGGTCTGCACCAGCAGGAAGCTGGAATTAGGAGCCAGAGTTAAGAACAGAACCCAGGCACTCTAAGAGTGAACACAGGTATCTAAATCACTAGGCCAAATGCCTGCCCCTACTTTTTAAAACTTTGTACCTCCTTTTTCTCATTAAATGTTAAAATGGAATTCAGTAGTAGTTACCTCCAGGTAGTACACATGAAAATATCCATGCCAAAGCACTAAGTATAGCTCCGTATATTTGATAAACACTTTGTACACCATTTATTATTATCATCATCATTACTATGCTAACTTCTACTCTCCCTTCAAGAATCAACTCTGGCATTGTCTTATGTTGCCTGTGAAACTTCTGCAAAAAGTCTGGATGAACTGTCTTGAGTTTCCTCTCACTTGCCCATCTCTGCCACAGGCCAAGAGTTCCTTAAAGAAAGAAAATATATCTTAACTTATTTTTTTTTTAAGAGCCTAGCTTAGGCCTAGAATATAGTAAGCTCCTAAGAAATATTTGCTGAAAGAAATCAGTATTTCTGAAAAAGTGATACTTTAAATATATTAAATTTATTACCTTACCATTTTTAATAAATATGTTCAAATGTATGTTATACACACTACAACTCTACCCATAATCAAGCAAGGCTTGATAAGCAGCCATTTATGATATTTATTAAGGCTTGGCTTTCCTAATGAATAGTGATAGAAAACCAAGATAAAGCTGAGTAAACAGCAGGCCCAAGGGATACTATAAAAGATTCCAGGAAAATACTTCTCATATTCTTATCTGAAGTCCAATACTGTGCTTCATTTAAGTCCTGGCCAATACAGTTAAAGGTCAATCAACCCTCTAAACAAGGTTGTTTATACTGAAAATATCTTGAGCTCATAGCCATCATGTGCAGTTGATGCTTAAGTCTCTATCTCAAAGAAACCTTACCCTATTGGTTTTGCCACAGTCAGATCACTTGTGGCAGGTGCAGGATGGAGAGGTGGCATAAAATTCCACACAGCTCTAGGTTATCTCTCTGCTCCACAGACAGGATGCTCAGTGCCCAGAACAGTGGTTGGGCTATGACTCAGGCTGCCTGCTCCCTTCATCCCATCACCACCAGTTTGGTCCTGGGCCTTAACTAAAGGTTGGAAGCAAGGAGGCAGAATGATGAAATTTTCTAAACACTTATCTTCCCTGAAAGGAAGTGCTAGGTTTTCTGAAACATTTGAAAAATAATCACTGCATCTATCTGTTCTCTAGAAGTGGGAAAGACATTCATTCAGCATTTACTGAATACCTAATAACCATCTGACAGCACACACAAAGCCTAACAACTCCTGTATTCTCTTTCCAGACCCGTGTCCTAACTATTCTTTGGATTTATAGGTCTAAAATGGGATAAGGAAGGTAGCCTTAGCCCTGGACTGCTATCAGTTCATTCCCTCTTTGGACAAATAACACCTCTGTCTGGTTTGTCTCCTGGGAGACTCCATTTGGTCAGGGCTTTGGCTCTTGGAAGCTAATGCAAAGTCTGAGTAGCTGAGCTATAGTTGAGGGTCACTTATTCCTCATGCTAGTATATTATACCCACATGGCTTAGTTTTGTTGACTATGCTCAGAAGGTATTTTCCAAAGCCTTAAAATTTACTTTAAAAACCTCTGAGACCAAATTAGTCTTGAAAAATCTCTATGAAGACCCATGAAAAACATACCTCTGAAAATCTAAATCTACCATTAAATTGTGATATCACTTTGATCAGAGAAGGCACAGTTCTTGTTGCCATAATCAGCCTGGACAAATGGCTTGCTTTGGTTACACTTTCTGATCTCCATTCCCAGCAAGGAGCTTACTTTTACTTCTCATCCTTAAAACAATCACACTTGTAATTAGGTCACTTCATATGGTTATTTCATTCATTCACTCTAGATATAAATGCCTTATACTGAAGGGGTCTATCTTGCTACTTACATGAAACAAACGGGTTCTCTAATCTGTATTTTCTTCTCTTCCTGTACAGTGCCTTACAAAGCATGACAATCAGAAACTCATACTTTTTGAAGATGACAAGAGTCTACCCCAGAATGCACCTGCATTACTAGGCCTCAGATATTCTCCTAGGGAAAGGCCCTTTACTCCTATTTCTAAATGCCCACTACTAGGCATGGAGTGTAGGGAAGAGAACCTGATCAGCAGACCCCAGTCCCAGGATCAGGTATGCAGTAACTAGCTGTTATGCCCTCGAGTCAGACTTTTTATGTGGATTCTGAGGCAGTTTTGTCATCTGTAAAATGGGTGGATATGGATTTTGATTTCATGACAGTAGAAACCATATTTAACTGGTTTAGGGTTGTGGGTATCTAAACCAATAAGTGACCCTCCCCTCCCCCAAAGTTTGTTGACTACATTATGGCACAAACGTACTAGGATGGTTTTTTTTTTGCTTCCAACTTTCAATACAATGGTAATTATTCCATTGTAAATTTGTGCTTAGATCAGACCTACCCTTGTCTCAGCATGCTGCAGTACACACCGCTAATCTTTCGTACTTAAAAAGTGACCTGCTTACTACAACCTGCTACTAAACATTTGAGGGTTAAGGTTTTGCACAAGACTCCCGGAGTCCACAAGCTGGCTTTTGAAGAGCTATAAAACGGAAATGGCAGCAAAGTTTTATGTGTTTGAGAGACTACACGTTTTTCTGGATCGTGAAAGTGTAGCAATTATCGGTATTCTTAGGGAAAAGAATTAGGAAACACAGAAATCTGTGTGGTCATTATTTCCCTAGGGCTCTGCAAGGCGCCCCTCAGGATGCAGGTGCCCGTGCAGCCTTGGAGGCGGGCAGCAGGAGAGGGCCCGGCAGGAGGTACCGAGAAGGGTCTAAGGAACCTGAGCAGGGTTCTATGGGCCGGGCGGCCTCGGCTTTACCTGGCGCACCCCTGCAACTCCAGTCCTCTCAGGCTCGACACCTTGGCCTCTGAGTCAGGGGCATCTTCGTCCTCGTCTCCCTCGTCCTCCCCGTCACCGTCGTCCTCGTCAAATGGGAAGCTCTGGTGGCCAAGAGGCGACAACAGCGACAAGGTGGAGTTGCTACAGCTCTGTGGCGGCGACAGCGAGCACTCAGACATCGCCACCGCCGCCAGGCCCTGCTCCCGCGCGCCCGTCGGGACGCCTGGGAAAGAGCCAGAGGAAGGCCGAGACCCGGGCCTGGAGTCGGCGGAGGGCTGGCTGGAGACTGGGGTAGAAGCAGGCCGCCTCCGCCCCGCCGCCCACATCAGGCCCGCCAAGTTCAAACCGGTGGAGCCGCGGCGGGGACGTGCTCTCCCAACAGGCTCCGCGCGCGATGGACCCGGCCAATCCGGGACGACACAGACCCCGCGTTGCCACGGCGACGCGTGGAGGCCGCGAGGGCTTTGTCCGGGCCTGCAGAGCGTGGCTTCCTCCGCCGGGGCCTCTCGGCCGCTGACGCCTCCTCACCGGCAGGGAGGAGCCTGCTGCGCGGCGCTTGTTTAACGCCGCGCCTCGGCTCCTCCACCGGCGAGGTCCTGGCTGTCTACCAACAACTTGGAGGGTCCATCCCCGCTCGTGTGGCGGATCATTTAATACATAAAATGTTACCTGTGACTGAATGGAGTAGATATTTTCAAAGGGACAGAGGCAAAAGCCAGAACTACCCCTGAGATAATGATGACGTCAGGATTGTAAGCATCAGTCGTGAGATTTCTTTCAGCACAGGGCCGTAGTTTATTAAGAGAGGGGGCTGAATTTTATCCAAGTCTTACAAATCTGTCCAAGAACACTTTGGGGACAATCTCGCAGTGTTTTGGTAGCACCTCGTTTGTCTTAGCATGTGAACTTTTTGGCCTCTTGAAGCTTGTATGCCAGGTCTAGTGCCAAGCACCGGGGAAAGATAATGCCTTTACCTTAAATTCCTTATTGTTTTGTGTTGAAGGGTCATACCATTAAAATGTCCTGATATGCATTTTATGAGGAAAGAAAGCATTTTGTGTGATCTCAGGGGCCTTCTCAGGGACTGGGAATGGGGATAAAGGTAGCAAAGCAGAGGTGATGAGCAGATGCTTTATTCACGCAGACAAAACGTGTGCCCTTAAGACGGCTTTTGTCCAGTTCATAATGTAGATTGCTGACAGAAATATAAAAGCTGACCACTGCTAAAACAGAAAATTTATAACTGACTAAAGAGAAATAATGAAAAACTTTGATTTAATTAGATCTGCAAAATTTGATGCAAAATTAAATGTGGTAGAAATTGCAACCAAAGACAATTTAGAAGGTAGAGCTATAATACAATGACATACTTTAAATTGTTTAAATATGTTACAATTTTCAGCAAACTAAAAATGGGAGAAAATTAGAGCAATCCAACTAATAAAATTGATTAAAGAATAAAACTGACTAAAGGGAATGTTCATTCTCTACTGTAATCTACTTTGGCATATCTGGTTAAAATCATTTATCACAACAACTCTAGAATCAATAGCAACAACATTTAAAGGAGTGAGCTGCTTTGTGAATAGGTGAACTTGAGAACTATTTTCCAATAGACATAATCCAAAATAACTGTAAAAAACACTAGTAGGCAAGGAACCTGGATTCGAATCAATGGTTTTCCTCGTACTAAGTAGGTATCTTTGAACAAGCTTTTTGACTTTTCCAATCCTAACATACTCCTTTGTACAATAGGGAAATTATCTACCTCACAGAGTTGTGTTGTCTTATTAGCGACACACAGTGCTAAATTAGGTCAGTTAAACTCCAAAACTTTTCCACTTTAATGTCTTGGCATCGATATCTAAAGTGTTAGACTTCCTGCCACTAAACAAATTATGTCCTTTGCTTGATGCGTCAAGGTCATCATTATGAACAACAATTACATTATGCTGTAGTTAACACTGGTGTCCCAAAGGCTATGAGGCAGACTTATATGGTGCTGGTATTTAAACATACTCCAGCCTTGTGGTCTCCTTTCTTACGGTGCCTTTTCATTAGGGGGACTGAGAAGCCATAATCAAGATGCATAGAATTATATATATATGCAAATTAACTCAAAAGAGAAATTTAGGTTATTGCCTTTTCTGACCACTCATTTATTTTTACTTTTATGGCATATTTGAGATTATTTTTTGCAGGTTCTGTGGCCTTAGTAAAGAGTAACTTTTGTTTAAAAATACCTATCTGACATTGTTTCAAAAATAATTAATTACCAGTTAGCCCTGTGGCAAGATAATTTATCCTTTGGGACCAGTGCTGTGGCATAGCCGGTAAAGCCACCACCTGCAGTACCAGCTTCCCACAGGGGCAACAGTTCAAGTTCTAACAGCTCTTCTACCGATCCAGCTCTCTGCTAATGTGTCTGGGAAAGCAGTGGATTAGGGCCCAGCCTTGCAACCACATGGGAGACCCGGAAGAAGCTCCTGGCTCCTGACTTCAGATGGGTCCAGTCTGGCAGTTGCGGTTATTTGGGAAGTGAACCAGTGGATGGAAGATCTCAATCTCTCTCTCTCCACACTCCTCTCTGTTTAATCTGCCTTTCAAATAAGTAAATGACTCTCTTTTAAAAAAAAAAGTATCCCTAGACATATTGAAGCATTTATAGATGCAATGATATACTGTCTTAGATTTGCTTCAGAATAATCCAAGCTACAAAGGATTGGACGAGGTTAATAAATGTGATGATGAAACAAGATTTATACTTGCTAAGGACAATTGTCAAAGCAAAAAAGATGGGTATAGGATGGGGGATGGAGAGGAGGGATAATTACACTATTTAATCTCTTATGGAAATTTCAAACACATATTAAGTTTAAAATAAACACAAGAAATAATGTCCAAAATTCAGAAAAACTGATTTCTGGGCTGGGTCTTATTTGTTGTGATTCAAAAATTCACCTAAATTTCATTAAACCCTTTGTTATCTGATCTACAAAATGAAAATTTGATGATTGTAAATAACTGAGGTATTTTTAAGAGTCTAAGCAACAGACAATATGTAATGGATGGTTCATCTTAATTTCATAACCTGTTTTCTACGGGTATGGTTTAGACTTAAGATTGGGAGCCAGCAGATGTAAGATCTCTGTCTTTCCCTCTCTCTGTCATTATTCTGCCTTTCAAATAAATAAATCTTGAAAAATATTTAATTAGCCTACGCTAACACTACATAATTTCATTGATATAACTAGTTATAAACTAAGGCAAAATAGATTGCTTTCTAGAATCTTTAACAATCCAAACTGTTGAATACTATCATTATATGTATAGCACAATATACCAAATATTTCATGTAACTGCCATTTTATTTCTTAGGTGAAAGAAAGTCACAGTAACTTGAATTTTGGAAAAAAAAGCTTTTAATTAGGATTTTCTTAACAAGTTATGATTTAATATTTATCAGATGTGTAAATATACAAACATGATAGCAATTTTTAAAACTTGTAAATAGTTGGCCTTACAAAATTACAACACACTGTAAATAAATCCCTCCCACATTTTATACAAACTACATGATTTTGATATACAAAGATTCTGTTTTTATTACACTGACAATGTACAACCAAGACTATTTACACTGCAAAAAAGTATATAAACCACAATTTAACATTCTGCTACTGGCAGCCACTATAGTTTAGGAGGTAGCTTTAATTAAACAAAATGAACAGAAGCCACATTTCCCAACTTGTGTTCTAAAAATAATTTACATAAGATAAAAATTCATTATATGCACAGTTTATACAGTTTAATTATTAAACTGTAATCTAGCTTAATTTTTTTAGTATATCCAGAACAACTAACATGGCAGTGGGTTTGCTATTGATTTAGTACATTGTTCAAAAAGCATATTGAACAATTTTAAGACTCCACATGGTAAAATGTCAAAAGCCCACAGATGAGAATCAAGTAAAAGTTTTAATTTTTAAAGACATAGGACTAAACTTTATTCCTTCTTACCCACCTCCCCCAAATGACACATTTGTCTTGGGTAACAAGAGTTCAGCATCTGAGCTATTGAATATATTCTTCTGTAAGTCACACTATGGGGGAAAATGTACAGAAGCTTCCATGTATAGCATGGTTCAGGAGGACCCAGCTCACTAAGAAACAAATATAAGTGCTTTGTGTCAGAACTACTCCTGCTTTATTCCAATTATTAACAATTATTTATCAAGACTTACTTTCTAAATAATCCAAACACAAATAGATGACATTCCAACAAAATTGGAAAATATCAGCAAACCAATGACATTAGGAAGTATTTATTGATGGGAACATTACATGGGGCCACCAAATCCCTCAGGTACTACTAAAGCCCCAAAATTAGTTAATCATTTAGCCAAATCCACTAATCTCACATAGCAATTATTCCTTTACTTTTTCCAAGTAGTATGATTGCAAAATATTCAGGAAAAAAAAATACTGTGATCATACCAAAACAAAAGTTCAGCTACTTTTCAAAGAAATCTAACAGCTGTTAATATTGCTTTAAAAACATCTTCAGATTTTAGATTTATAAGTCATTTAAACAAAATTTATGATTTTATGTCAAGGATGGAAACAGAAAATGCAGCAAAATAATGCCATTGTGCATTCTCACAGTTCTTGCTTGGGAGACAGTCCCTTTTTTGGCCCAGCAGTAAATTATCCTGAGATTAATGGTGAAACATTAGGTAAAATTAGAAAAACTTTTTTCTTCAGTTATATAAAATTAAATTTTAAGACACTTTTAAAAAATATTAACAGCTGTTCTTTATATTGTGCTTAAATCAGAAATAGATAACAATTTGCTCTTTTGGATCAGAAAAACCTAATGTTCTCTTGCCATACCATACCTAAAATCCTTTTCAAGATATAAATTTGTTTTCAATAGACCACACATTGCTTGGACATTGCATTACTTCCACCAATTTATAATTTAGGCACCTGTTCTTTGAAAACGTCTGCTTTGAGAAAAAAACTGCCACCTTCCTCTTCTTCTATGTGACACCAGGCAGTGATCACAGAAGTGCCTCCCAGATGAAAGATCAGAATAGGGTCCACTCTATAAACACTGTGATTTTGGTTGTTGGGGGAAATGGTTACAAACACGGTAGGTTCAGTCTTTAACTCTTGGTAGATTGTAAGCATAGCGCACCAAAGGGAATCCTCGACTCTGGTAGAAGCAGGCGCGTCCACATGCCTGCACCTGGTCAGAACTGTCTGAGACAAAGGAATCTTCTTCATCTGCATAATCAGAGTGTGCTGACTGCGTACCACAGTCAGACCAGTAGCCCTCTGGTCTTTGGCAAGAAGCCACTGCCAACGCAGGACAGCTGTGTGATTTTATTAAGTGTTTGCACGATACTGGCTTTGTCAGGAGAAAAGATTCACAGCAGTCACACACAGTCAGGTTGCCCTGCAAGTGGGAATACATGCCACAGTCATAATAGAAGTCCTGTTCCACACATCCACCTTGGCTACTGATGGAAACTGAAACTGATCCATTTTTCTTGGTAAGACGTCGCTTCAGTAACTTCCAGTCTTCTTTAAACTTCGGGTTGAAGAAAACATACAGAACTGGATTCAGGCAGGCAGGCAATGGGAAAAATATCAGAGTAACAGACTTCATGATTTCAGGGCTGATAGAGATGGCAGTGATCAGTGGTGCAAATGAGAAAAATGCAACAGGGCAGAAAAAGATGCAATTGGTGAAGATTAGCCAGGCAACATGCTTAATCATGCTCGATTGTGAGTTTTCTGAGAGGTCCTCTTTTTCCAAGTTGCAGTAGAGTTTAGTGTAGATAATGGCCATTAATAAAAATGCCAGTGAGTTTAACAGCACTAAAGTTACAGTAAATCCTAATGACGGCGTTTCTCCTGTGGGAAATGGCAAGCACAGGGGTGATGCTGAGTACTCTCCTCGATGGAAGAGGGGGAAGCAGCCTGCCACTGCAGCACCCAGGAAAGCAAAGAGGGCAGCCACCCGGAACTGTTTGAGATGATTACTCTTCCCATTTTTCATGATTTCTTTTGCAGATAAGCTTCTTTCAACAGCTGCTAACACCAATAAAAATATGGCACTTTCTGAGGAGAAAACGGCAAGAAACCCAGCTACTTTGCAGCCACTGCCGGTCTCCCACCATATGCCAAATTCAGCAAATCGGCCCCAGGACACAGCATCAAGAAATGTTAAGATGCCACTATAGATTCCCATGAATAAGTTAGACACAGAAATCAAGCCTATGAACAATTTGGAGGAAGGCAGTGATGTACAGGATGCAAATGTTGTTAAGGTGACAAGCAGGTTGAAAGACAATGCAACCAAGAAAATGAACCACACAGTAAGACGAATCATCCAGCTTCCCAGTAAATATTCACAGGGCTTAAAAGCACCTGAAATGAAAGAGAGACAGAAAAATAAAAGACAATTTAGAAAACACCATATTTCATATGATACAGCTTGATAAAAAAAATTCATGGGGGCTAAATCTAGATTAAATCTGCTCCTACCTGAACCAAATGGAAAAGATTACTACTTAACATGTTAATCATGGACTAGCCTTTCAAAAAAATGAACAGGCTTTAGTTTCTTCTTTGAGATTTTCAGTAAGGCCACATAGATATTTAAAAGAAAAATGTCACTTTTTCCTATGCATAAAATAATATGCATTGTACAATATCTATCTAGCACATGAAAGGTACTTGATCTACTGAAGATCTGGAATAAGATGGTTTATAACTTGCTACTCTTTCCTTGAGAAAGCAATTTAAAGCTCTATAAGCACCAACGGCAAAGGAAGACCTTTCTCTCTGTCTCTCTCACTGTCCACTCTGCCTGTCAAATAAATAAATAAATAAAAATTTTAAAAAGGCTCTATAAGCTTCATTTTCTTACTTGTGGATAATAATTTTACATATATGGTACTTTAGCAAGCTATGGGGTACATAGTTGAACTTTAATAAATATTAGCTCCCTTATCCTCTTCCATCCTAATCCCAGTATATTTTATAGTTATATACATATATACAAGCACATATTTTAAAACATTTTTACCCATCTAACGGCTTCCAAAGGCAACCTGATGAGGCAGGTTAAGATAGGTATAATTATCCCCAGTTTTCATCCAGAGAACTGATATTTTAAAGCATTTGATAAACTACGGTTCTATTACTTATTCATACAAACTATGTACAATATAACCCTATCTAACACAAAGTAGGATTGCAAGAGCCCATATAGTAGCTGAATTATACATTCTAGTAACTGACTTTGACATGCTACTCACATCAAAAATGGTAAGAATATTATTCAAAAATTAGGAAAGAAAAGATTTAGACTATGAAATGCAAGGTGTCATGGTCAGTCTTCTCCATAATGGATTGTGATTTCCTAAAAGACATGTATTGTCTTTCTGAACTATCTTGATATTTTATATATGCAATAAAGCATTTTAATTATTGAGACAGTTATAAACCTTAAAAGCTCTTCACCCTTTATCTAAATGCTAAAACACAAGAGACTTTATTTAATTTTTAAAACTTTTCTTTCACTCCCCTAGCAGAAAAAACTGAGAAACAGCTCTTTATCATCTTTATCTCTGTATCTGAGACCATCCTTCACTGAAGGAGGTTAGCCCAATGCTTTGACTGGGCTGGGAGAGTAAGAACCCACATGAACCGCTTCAAAGGTGGGTGGGCTGACTTTCCCAAAAAGGGCTAAGGAAGCAGTTCCCAACCATTCGGTTTTGGAAGCCTGCAGCAGCCTCCTCCAGTTCTAACAAAAAGATCCCAGTGCTCCTCCATACCCTGCTTCCTGCTGCTGCACTAAGGACATCCCATCAGTGTCTGAGTGGGGAGAGACAGGCACGCTGCTCATCTGCACTGCAGCAGAGGGACACAGATTGAGACCAGCTTCCCTCCTGGACAACCCCAAAGTTTCAGTTCACTCTGGAAAGAATGGAACTGCTGCATATTCAAGTCTTGCTTCCGCTTTAATAAAGCTAATCCCTTCTCACTGGATCATCGGTTTTGTATGTGCATTCACAAACACATGAAACCCAAGGAGACAAGTGAGCATGCTGCATCCTAACTTCCAAATTAATATAGAAACTACCACAGAATAAAATAAGTTACATAAACTTAAGTGCTTCTTGCCAACCCCATTTACTCATCTGGTAACATTAAGCTTATTCTCCATATAGGACAGGATGTTAAATATGCAACAAATATATACCCAGTCTCTCAGGAAACTCACAGTAATAATCATTAATGAACTCACAGTAGTAATCATTAATGAACAAAAAATACTTAGGCTTATGAGTTATAAAATCTATGTCCATCATTTGAGGACATTATACTAAGGAAATGTATTCCAAGGCTAACAAACAATCTACTGTGTAGCATACAATCTAACTAAATATTTAATCCTATTTTTCATGATAAAATTATTAATCCATCTTATCTGGTGGACCAGGCAAGATATGACATTAATCACAGCCAAACATATCATATCAATTTAGTAACTTCCCCCAGAATACTAAATTCAATGAAGTATATCAGAAAATAAAGGAAAGGCAAGGTTGGAGTGCCTGGGATCGAGCCCCACCTCTGCTTTTGATTCCTGTTAATGTACCTGAGAGGCAGCAGATGATATTACAAGTACTTGAGACCCTGCCACACAAATGGGAGACCAGGATGGGGTTCTGGGCTCTTGGATTCGGCCTGGCCTAGCACTGCCTGTGGCAGGCATTTGGGGAATGAACCAGCACATGGAAGATCTCTCTGTGTGTCTCTCCCTCTATCTCAGTCACTTAAATAAACTTAAAAAGCAAAAAAAGCAGTAAAAATCCTTACAGAGCAGTAATTTACAGAACTTATCCTAGAGTTAAAGAAGCATTAAGAAAGTGCTTCATGAGGTCAGTATAGTGGGTAGGGCTGCCACCTGCAGTGCTGGCATCCCAAATGGATTCTGGTTCGAGTCCCGGCTGCTGCACTTCTGATCCAGCTCTCTGCTATGGCCTGGGAAAGCAATAGAAGGTGGCCCAAGTCCTTGGGCCCCTGCACCTATGTGGGAGACCTGGTAGAAGCGCCTGGCTTTGGATCAGCATAGCTCCGGCTGTTGTGGCCATGTGGGGAGTGAACCAGAGGATGGAAGATCTGTGTCTCTGCCTCTCCTTCTCTAACTTTCAAATAAATAAAATAAAATCTTAAAAAAAAAAAAAAAGAAAAGAAAAAAGAAAGCATTTCACAAAATGTAGTATGTGTTACCCTCAGCCGGGTAGACACGCAGGATCTGATTCAGTGGGTGTGGACCTGAGTCTTTGCAAGAGCTGAATAAACTACGGGCACACAGAGCACACTGTCAGACAGCAGGCCCTGCAGGATCACCTTGTCCCATCCCTATTGCAGAAACCACGTCCATGCCCCGGAGTTTTAGTTATATTTGCCTAATGCTTGTTGAAAGCAAGAAACTGTGACAAACTAGGTTCAGCATACCTGTTGAGGGTGTACAATGGATAATTATTTGACTATGTTCTTCATTTTCAGCACTGCTTGTGACATTTGCTGCATCAGCAGTACCTGAATATATAATAGAAAGCATGTTACAGTGAAACCTTACACAACTCAAAAGAACTTTATTTGCCCACAATTTTCTCATGGCTTGGGCACAGATTAAAGTTGCCAGCACAACAGAAATGCCATTTTTATCACAGATTTCGTATTGATCCTTCACAAACTGATTACACTGACAGGTACTTTGATTAATGCCTTAAGGAGTGCTCTACTTTTCAAAGTTCATGCACTTGCCTTTCTCCTTTGTCACAGGATGGTCTTGGAGGCTGTTATCTTCTGTGTTTATATTTGCATAAGAGTCACAACCCCAAAATGCACAGCACTGATAAGCATATGGTACCGATAAAGACCTGGGAAAAAATGTACAATGAATAGCGACTTCATAGATATGATTTTGCTTTGTAAAAAGTATTTTAATCTTTGAGAACTCTAGTGTCGGAGTCAGAAAGACGGAACTTTCACATACTTTAGCTTGGTCATTCATACTCGATGGACCTCAGTTTTCTCATTAGTGAGACACACCATGAGTTTCTCTCTTTCTATACATCTTTTAAGTTGGTAGTACATAATTAAAATCGTATTTAAATCATATTTAGGGGCCAGCGCTCTGGTGTAGTAGGTTTAGCTTCCATGTGTGGCACTGGCTTCCCGTATGGACACCCGTTTGTGTCTTGGCAGCTCCTTTTCCGATCCAGCTCTCTGCTATGGCCTGGGAAAGCAGCAGAAGATGGCCCAAGTCCTTGGGCCCCTGCACCCACGTGGGAGACCCAGAAGAAGCTCCTGGCTCCTGGCTTTGGATCAGCCCAGCTCTGGCCATTTCAGCCATTTAGGGAGTGAACCAGCAGATAGAAGACTTTCTCTCTGTCTCTCCCTCTCTATCTCTGTGACTCTGCCTCTCAAATAAGTATATACATCTTTTTTAAAAATCATATTTAAAATGTCATTATAATATTGCAATCTAAAATAAGATCTTATGACTCCTTTGATATACCAACAATGCCCAATAAATATACCAACAATGCAACTGGCAGTTTCACTTGAAATTAATACCCCAGGTCATATGTAACTGTACACCATTAAGTGAATTTCCTTTGTTCATATAAATTGAATCAAAATATTTATTCCTTTCTCACAAAAATATTTTCTAGCTATTCCTCTGCAATAGTTAATGAAGTTGCTTCAATAAATCTTCTGTGAAACATTATAGCATTATATTGATTTTCTGTAGGTCCTCCCTTATTTGATGTCTGCCATCTTGCTGCTAGTGACAAATCCACTATATTCAGAAAAAAAAATTCTGATAAATATATTACATCTCTGAGAACATCAGAAGCTCTAGTCCATGTTCTCAAACACTATGGAATAATGCTTATGTTCTAATTTTTTTTTACCAAATCCATAAACACCAAGGTAGAAAAATACCAAAGTTACTGTCTACCAGAGAATTTGGGGACCACAGAAAAAAACAGAACACGCTATACTTTTTGAGTCTATAGTGACTTCAATAAAATGAAAAAGTTAAAACACACCTGAGATTAACAAAGTCTTTTGCTGCTAAAGCTTCTTTCAGCTTGAAGTTGCCCACCAGTTTCAGCTGATTTAGTCCATTCAGACCTTCCGTGGGAAATGAGGTCAATTCATTGAAACTCATATCTCTAAAATGTGAATGTGATTTTAAGTTAAAGCCTAACATACAAGTCACACCAAAATATCTGCATATCTACTAGCAACATAAATATTAGATCCCTACAATAAGCTTAGGGTGCTCAAACAACAGATCCAGTACTCATCTTGAGAAGCTATTACTGCACTTACGCAGTTTAACATTCCTACTGTAAGGGAACAACTAAATACATTTTTATTTGACCATGTTTGAATCCACCACAGTGGCGATGAAATTAAAAAAACAAGTTTCTGAACCACTATTTAGTGCTTTCAAGAAGCCATTGTATCAGGGAGTCTACTTACAGATTAGTTATTGGCCCAAGCTTGGCAAAAGCTCTGCTATGAATTTCATGGATCAGGTTTCTACTCAGATCACTGCAATTACAGAAAGTAACTTGTTAATCTTTTCAAATACACACTCAAAATGCCTGTTACTTAGGCTGAGTTTTAGAAAATAAGGTAGTAACACAATATCTCTGATAAGATAACAAAGATCTTCAATCTTGTCCAACAACATTTTTCATGTTTATGTTGAAGGCCTCTCCTTTTCAACAACCTCGTTCTCAAAATGTGTTCCCTGTAGCAGTCATTTTAGCTGGCATCTGTTTCAAAACAGTTGTGAATTTTCTCCACTTTATCATTCTGGTTCCAGTTCAAAACTATAAGTGATACGATATAACCTTTGTTACTATTAACTAGGTGAAGGAAAGTCTAGCTCCTGACAAAGCTGAAAATAAAAACAGGCTGCTTAGTATTTGCCTTCCCAAAGGTTAGTGATAAGGCCCTCAGGGAAGACAAACAATCAATACACAAACAAGAGCATTCCAAGAGGGCTTCAGATATCATTCTTTTCCAAAGCAGGAAATAAAAATTCATATCTGTAGTAGAGCCAACTCTATATTCAGGAACACACCCTGAAGAATTTTGATACTATTAGAGACTTGATAAAAAGAGATTAATCTCCAATTTAAACTGGGTCTTAATGGAAATTTTTAAGACTGGATAAATTCATCCCACACACATTTCTTGGAGAATAAGAAAACTATACAAATTTGGTTGCAAATTATGAGAAGACCAGTTTTTCACTGTTGTCACTTTTTAGTGCTGTAAACATGATGGCAGCTAGGAGCCAGCCCACTGCCAGGACTTCTCAGAATCTCTCTGCAGTAAGGAAGATTCAGCAACACAACTACCAATTACTATTTCCAGTAAAATGCATGTATTATTTCTTAATAGGAGTCTACTGGAAAATCAATTCAGTATAGATATTTTCATCTCACTATTTTTCAAATGTGTTCTATATGTAACAAGCTATTCTCTAATGCAGTATATGGACTGTATTTTCTGTACTGAAATTTTTTAAATCAGTTAGTGACAAGGTTTGTCTTGGTCACCTTTGTACAGCTGGCCCTCTGAATCACAGATTCAACCACCCTCAGATCGAAAATACTGGGGGTGGAGGTGTGAACTGCATCACTGAACATGCACAGATTCTTTTTCTTGTCATTATTCCCAAAACACAATAATGCCTAACTTCCATAGCATTTACACTGTTTTTATTAAATTGGACTACATAGGATTTAAAGCTTAAGGTAAATGGGAGCATCTCAGAGGCTATATGCAAATATTACATAATTTTAAATGAGGGACTTGAGCATCCACAGATTTTTGCTATCTCAGGTGGCAGGGTATGGTCCCAGAACCAATCACCCATGAATATCAAGGGACAACTATATTCCCAAATGTTTACTAGAGTACTTGGTGAAAATTTGTAGTCAAATATAAAGAAGTGTTTCAGTGAGTGCTTCTGCTGCATATGAGCTCTATTTGTCATGATAGATACCTCAGTTCAGGGTCAGTAAACTTATTCTGTAGAGGGCCAGATAGTAAATATTTTCGCTTTTCTGCATCATAGGGTCTCTGCTGCCAACAACTAAACTCTTCTATAACAAGAACTTTTAAACAACACGTCAGCAAAAGATCTATCTGTATTTCAAAACTTAATTTTCAAAAATAGGAGGCAGACTGAATTTGGCCCCCAGGTTGTAGTTTGCCTAGCCTTATCTGAATGAATCAGAAAATCTCATTATTTTGATTTGAAAACAAATGATGTGTATCTCTCAGATTAAATACATTATGTTCTTTTCATTCAGCAATATATATTATCATCAATCTGCTAAGGTAAAAATTATCAAATATAGATTATTTATAACATACCAACTGGTACAGTTTGCATAATATCTATGTAAAATAAATCACATCTTTAAGTACAGCTCTTGACACAGGAATTGTAATGACACATTAGTTTATAGTTTTACCAAAAAAACTGTCTTTAGTAATTACTGACAAACTTACAGAATCCTTAGGGACCCAAGGCCTTGGAAAGTACCTTCTTTTATTTGGTAGATCTGATTACGCTGTAAAGAACTTAAAAAAAAAGGAATAAAGAAAAAAAGAGAAAATTATGTATTTTGAAAAAAAGCTTTTGTCTTTCCCTCTCTCTGTAACTCTACCTCTCAAATAAATAAAGTAAATCTTTACCCCCTCAAAAAAAAAAAAAAAAAAGGCATTTCTTGGTAAAGGTTTTTCTAAGTTTAAATATTCAATCATAGGTAGTATCAATGATCTTGTTGAAAGTAAAGAGAACTTCCACTGGCTCATCTATAAAATTAAAGAGCTTGGTATGCCATCCAAATTACCCTGGTAGATAACTCGTACACTATCCAAATTCCTCCTCAACCCCACTCTGGTATGAGAGAAAGAAGAAAACACCATGAGAAAGGATCCAACACAGCACAACTTTAGCAAGTAGCACAGGAAGTTAGAGGAAATAAATTAAAAATGGGAGAAGTCATATTTTCTCTCTTCTCGCAATCAGCTTCCATGGGTACCAGTATCCATATCTAGTTTCTCTCAATAGTAAGACAATTTGTTGTTTTTCTCACAGAAATTTGGATAGATAACTGCCTAATAAATGTTGGTTACAGGAACCATTTGATACAATTTGACATTGGACTGATAGGAACACTTAATTATATTCCCAGTTTAATATTAAAACAATTTATTCAAAATAGAAAATACTCAATGAACTATCAATATGCCACAACTAATAGAATAAATCAGAGACCAACTTACATTTCTTCCAGAGCATGGCAACCGTTGAAACTTGGAAGGTCTCTTATATTGTTGTAAGACAAGTCCCTCAAAACAAAAGGAATTAACTAATGTTATTATCAGAATACTATGTTAAAAGAGCTGTACTCAGAAACATTGAAAAGCATGCTAAGATCTGTAATAAGGAGATATGGCTAAACAAGAAAAGCAACTATTTCTTCTCTAAGCTTTTATATGCTTCTAGAAAACCTCAATAGTATGACAGCCTTAAGATTTGTAAAGTTCAAGTATATAATGTTGAGTACAGACAACATAAAATATGATAAACTGCATCAAAATACATAACATAAATATAAAAATATAATACAAAAATATATATAATGTTTTAAGTGGCTGAGTTTTCCAACATTGTTTATGCTATAATTAGTTTTTATAATGTCTTAACTTAAAAAACAATAAGAGGGGTCAGTGCTGTGGCATAGTAGGCTAAGCCTCTGCCTTTGGCACTAGCATCCCATATGTTTGCCAGTTCAAGTCCCAGCTGCTCCTCTTCTGATCCAGCTCTCTGTTTATACTCTGGGAGGGCAGTGGAACATGGTCCAAGTTCTTGGGCCCCTGCACCTGCACTGGAGACCTGGAAGAAGCTCTTGGCTCCCTGCTCCTGGCTTCAGATCAGCTCAACCCTGGCTGTTGCAGCCCTCTGGGAAGTGAACCAGCAGGTGGAAGATCTTTCTCTGTCTCTCCCTCTTTCTGTCTCTCCATCTCTCTGTGACTCTACCTCTCAAATAAATAAATAAAACCTTTTTTTTAAAGCTATAATAATAAAATAAAAAAATAATTAAAAAATAGAATAAGGACAATGAGTCAGGATAAGGAAGAATCAAGAAAGAGCTAGCTTGCTTTTATTTTGTTCAAAATAAAGTAACAAGATCTACATACATAACCCTAATACATACATAGCCCTAAAACCAAATTCAAAAGCGCACTATCTAACCTGTGAACAACTAACATGTTGGCTCATTTACATAAAAGGAACAAATAAGAAACAATCATGCCTCAAAATTATATCATGAAAAAAGTTTATTAAAAATAAAACTCAGCATGGGTGAAGTAAAAGAAAGGTATGAAGAGAGGAAGAATTCAACTTACAAAGTCCTAAGCATCTTTTGTTCTTGGCACAAATTACTAGGTATTTTGCTTATCTTTGTACCTGTCAAGGTCCTGTGAAAAAACAGTTCATTTAAGAAATAAATCAAAATAGTAAACCAAATGTTATTCTCATCTAGAAAAATAAATGTTTCAGGCTGGCATTGTGGTACAGTGAGTTAAGCTGTCAGTTGTGACAACAGCATCCGATACTGTTGGCTGCTTTGCTTCTGATCCAGCTCCCTATTAATGAACACGGGAGGGCAGCAGGTGATGGCCCAAGGACTTGGGCCCTTGCCACCCATGTGGTAGACCTGGATGGAGCTCCAGTATCCTGACTGGCTTGGATCAGCTCTGGCCATGGCAGCCATTTGCAGTGAAGGAACCAGTGAATAAAGATGCATCTTTCTCTCTCTCTCTCTCTCTCTCTCTCCCTCTCTCTCTCTCTCTCTCTCTCCATCTGTCACTCTGCCTTTCAAATACATTTTAAAATCTTTAAAAAATAAGTAAATGCTCACATATTTGCTTATGGACTACACTGTATACATCTCACTGACTAAAGTTAGGCATGTGGTAAGAAGAATCAACCATAAATACTGATATTATCTTCACAATAAATGCAAACAAAAAGTTATGCAACACAAGATGTTAACATTTTCCAGATTATGGGCTGGATTTGCCATATAGACTAAGAAAAAAACATGGATCCAAATCAAGCCTGACCACAATCACCTGTCACTTCTCACACTTAAAACATCTGAAACCAGCTTGGTATTCTACCTCCAGACCTTGTTTTTCTTCTCTTTGAGTCAACCTATTTAGCCTTCTGAAATACTTTCTTAGTCTCTTCTTTCTATGCTCCCATCTGCAGTCAATCACCACTTCTTTAATTTCTTCCTCTCTAGTACTTGTAGCATCTGATCCTTTCCATTTTTATTCCTGCTATGCCTATCAGTTGTGAAGTGATGAAGACAGGGTTGGAGGCATCTCAGACAGACCATGCTATTTGTTCTGGAGCAACTCCAGTGGCAGACTGAAGACCTGGAGCTCTCAAGGTAAGCTCTGTGCATTTGGTGAAGCAGACTATTCCCATGGCCTCCTCATGGGTCTGTCTTCTCCTTACCCTCCCCTCACTGCCTGCTCATACATTTTCAACCTCTGCAAACTGCCTTATAAGTCAAGTTTAAATTTCTTATCTCAGTGTTTCTCAACTGCTTTTTTTTTTTTACCTTGGCACATGTGAAAAGTACAGTATTTATATGGCACACTGTGATAAGGCTCCTGTGGTTAGAAGCCCTTGTCATTTCAACCCCATCTGGCTGTCTGGAGGACTGAGGTCAGGATATTAGATGCCCCTGTAAGCCATTTGCAGACTACTGACTGTTAAACTCTGCCATAATCAAATATCCAAGGTTCACGTCTTTTCATTTTAGAATCTGTTCCTAAACAAGTGTCTAAATATCTCTGTATCATTCCTCCATCCCATTGTTAACATATTTGATCATTTGCACACTCTCCCTGAATATATTTTCAGTGTTTCAGTTTTATTAAATCATGCCTTTGTAAATAAAAACTTTTGCTCTGAGAAACGTGTTAGTATTCAATTTTCAAATACACCGTCTCCTTCATGGAGGCTTCTGCTTCCGAATTCCTAAAGCGATACTTCTAATCTGTCTCTTAGTTACTATCTTTTATTTTTGGTGACCTTTTCAGATCTTCTCTCTACTTACTAGCCTGTACTCTGTTTGAGCTGATGGACCCAAACCCAGTGCATCCTCCTCCAGGCATGATGTTCACAAAGGAGACTGGAGGAATCAACATAACTCCTCATCAATGGAACACAAGCACTGACACCTGCCAGCAGACCACCCTAACCCCTTCAAAAGGCCTCACTTACAGACTCTCCAGATGAACAGTTCCAGTCAGATTGGGGAACGACTGTACCATGCTTGCACCACGAATGACTCTTTAAGTAATTGAGAAGGAAAAAGTTATTTCAGATTGGAAAAGAGTTGACAGATAATATTTTCATCTTTTCTTTGAAACAGTTTTAAATTACAGTACTACTATAACTAAAATTAGTTTCTTCTGAATGTATTTGAAAGTGGGATAATTTGGCTAAATTTTAACATACATGAGAATCATTACAAATTTTTAGAATCTTTCCTTTGGACTTCTGGCTGGGGGTGTGAAGAGACAAAAGATTATTATGTTTCCTTAAGGAATAATAGTAAGTCCCTTTTTTCCATTAAACTAACTGTATAAATATTGAGTTTTTACAAGTTTGCATAATACTTACAAGGAATGCAGATCCGATAAATTGTGAAATGCTGTGTTCCCCACAAAAGACAGAGGATTATCATACAAATGTCTGCAAAAGTACCCAGAAAAGGCAAAGTTTTCAGATGCTCACATGAACTCTAAGAGTAAATCTACTTTCCCAATGTCCATATATCTAAAAGCCTGAATCTTCACACTTTATCCAAAGCATAGCTTTACATGACTATATATTAAAAGAAACTTTCAAAAATACTTACATAGTTCTTAAGAGTGGATTACCACCAAATGCTCCATCAGGGATAACAGAAATAGAATTACTATGAAATCCACTAGAGAGATAGGAGAAAAAAAATTTTTTTAATTCATATTCCCTTCCGAAATAAGTTAAAAACCAAATATTTACTGCTGCTCAGTACTATACAAAATATAACTGATAATGACTACATGAAAATTTTCAAAAATGTAAGGAACCTGGATGTCTAATTCCATCTAATCTCTTTCAAGACCATACCTAATTCTTTTTAAACCTACTGCTCAGCTTAATATCTTTCAGGTCTCATATATGCATTTATCTGTTGCTTTATCATCAAAGAACTTTTGACCATAAGAATCATAAGGCAGTCTAGCCTAATAATCTCTCTCACTGCAGCCTGAATTTCATCTTTAGGCAATACATCTTAGAATACTAGCTGGCCACTCACAAGACACAATCCCTGCTATGCCATATATATTCCTATCTCTGTTCATGACAAACCCAGCATCCAAAATGCTTGCTCAGCCCTTTCACAAGTTAAATATTTTCCTTCTTTCAAGTCTTGCCAAATTCCTCCCCTTTAGTGATTTCCAGTGACTCCAAGTCTCAATGAGATATTTTCTGGAGTGATTTATTCATACCATTTGTTCAGCACTTATCTCACCTACAGTCTACTTCCACAGTCTGCCTTCTTGGTGAAACTCAAGACTTACAAGCTCCCTAAAGGCAGACACTGTACACATCATGCCTTTTTTGTTTCACCAGCATCTAACCCTCTATAGGAATCTCTGCTCAAAATTGTCTATATTTGGATAGGCACTGTAGTACAGTGGGTCAAGCCCCTGCTTGCAGTATCAGCATCCTGTATTTGGGCATTGGTTCTAGTCTCATCTGCCTGCTGAAGCACAGTGGACGGCAGTGGATGATGGCCCAAGCATTTGGGTCCCTGCCACCGATGTGGGAGACCGTATGAAATTGCAGGCTCCTGGCTTCTAAGCTCTGGCCATTACAGCCATTTGAGGAGTGAACTAGAGGATGGAAGCTTTCTCTCTCTCTCTTTTTCTGTCATTTCTTTCAAATAAATAAATAAATCTTTAAAAACAACTGTCTATTTCACCTCACAACCCAGTCTATGTGATCATACTTGTGCTTGTATGTACATATTATGGATATATATATAATTGAACAAAGATGTTCTAAAATCTCTTGATGAAACAGTAAGTGGTAACTTGTAGGAATATTAATGCATAATGGGAACAAAGCAATACTCACAGTTCTTTTAGGCTAGGAAGGGCTTTAATAGCTTGAGGAAATTCTCCCAAGTTATTATAATTCAAGTCCCTAGAAAAAATATGAATATTGAAGTGTGTTCACAATTCGTAAAGAATTTTATAAATATTTGAAAAGATCACACCCTCTGAATGCTAGTATTTCTTTACCAACCATATTGTCGTCAAATGCCTAGAAGAGTTTAATTGAATTTATGGCTTTTCTTAGAATACTGAATAAAAATAAATCAGTCTTCTGTGATGTTTTTAGGTAAGTAAATTTAAAAATTAAATGAATTCTCAGAAAAACTAGTACTGACGCATTAAATCAGCTAATCATCTGAATAACATTTCTCAGCAAATTCACCTTACAGTAGAATTTATTCAATATCCACGTATAAATAATTTCCATTTGGCATTCAGACTGGGTTTTTGAAATTCTGGTATGAGAGCAGCTGATCTTGGCCCCACCATCAACATAACAACTTGTGATAACAATGACCAGGAGAAGGATCAAGTTGGATTTATGTAAGTATTCTCTTCATTCAGGCCGTTAATGATTGAAAATGTTGTATTAATTACAAGACAAATAAGGCACAGAGATCTGTATCAAAAGTCTTGGTCCTGAGATTGTCTAAATTATCATTTCTCTTAACATAAAGAGCAGGTTGACATAATTAACATAGTTGATTTCAGAATAAAAGTAAAATTAAAAGGCTAGCTTCTTTGAGAATGATTTTATTTCCCTTTTCTACATATATTATAAAGAATAAACAGCAACCAAAAATTAAGTTAATTGGAAAGAAGAGGCTTAATTTTAATATAATTAGAATAGTATACATGGGGGCCGGCACCATGGTTCACTTGATTAATCCTCTGCCTGCGGCACCAGCATCCCTTATGGGTGCCGGGTTTTAGTCCCAGTTGCTCCCCTTCCAGTCCAGCTCTCTGCTGTGGCCTGGGAGGGCAGTGGAGGATGGCCCGGTGCTTGGGCCCCTGCACTTGCAAGGAAGACCAGGAAGAAGCACCTGGCTCCTGGCTTTGGATTGCAACAGTGCTGGCCGTGGTGGCCATTTGGGGAGTGAACCAACGCAAGGAAGACCTTTGTCTCTGTCTCTCTCTCTCACTGTCTACAACTCTACCTGTCAAATAAATAAATTAAAAAAAAAAAAAAAAGAATAGTATACATGGCCTATGCTCAGGAGACTCATTCAATCTGTTACACTAGAAGATATACACTTAGCAAAGAAAACCTAAGTTTGGAACTATTTCTTCCAGATCTTCAACTTTAAATACCCTCTGATGCTTGCAACTGAAAGTGGATTGTTTAACTGTTCAGACAGGAAAGTGGATTACTAGAATCCTAAAGGATTTCAAATCTTTCCATTAAGTGACAGCTAGATAATTCTATTAAGCAAATTACTACAAAAGCCTTAAGCATTCCAATCAGTTTACTCACTCATCTAATCCTAACATTTGCTGAATCATTTACTACATCACAATAATAAATATTATATATCTTTTTTTTTTTTTTTTGACAGGCAGAGAGTGGACAGTGAGGGAGAGAGACAGAGAGAAAGGTCTTCCTTTGCTGTTGGTTCACCCTCCAATGGCATGTTGCGGCCGGCGCACTGCGCCAATCCAAAGCCAGGAGCCAGGTGCTTCTCCTGGTCTCCCATGGGGTACAGGGCCCAAGTTCTTGGGCCATCCTTCACTGCACTCCCGGGCCATAGCAGAGAGCTGGCCTGGAAGAGGGGCAACCAGGACAGAATCTGGCACCCCAACCAGAACTAGAACCCGGTGTGCCAGCACCGCAGGTGGAGGATTAGCCTGTTGAGCCACGGTGCCGGCCAAGATTCTACTCTCAATTACACACAGCTGCAAAATATGGTTTCCTTATATGCCTATAGTGCTACACATAGCTGAACCAGTCAGAAAGTCCTGAACACTTCAGCTAGTGGAAACAATAACAAAAGTATCATAAACAAAATATAAAACCTTAATTTTTTATTCATTAGCATGGGAAACCAGATACAGTCTTCAAACCAGTATAAACAATTAGCAAGGCAACGGAGATCGCGGCAAAAACAAAACAACTCTCCAGAATTTATTTTAGATGTTTTGAAGTTCCAAAACTTTCACACATTTAGCAAAATCAGCATTTTTTGGAAAATGTATAAAATCCACATTTATAATGTGCTTTTAACCTAAACTGAGATTTATAAGTGCGTTATTTGATGGCAAGAATTTAGTTATGTATTAAAACAAATTAATAATGAGATTTACTAAGACCAATATTATTTTCCCTTTCCTGCAGTGAAGTACAAAATTGCATTGTAAATATCACAATGGGATAGCTCAAAATATAAATATACTTACAAGGTCTCCAGGTTATCCAGTCCATCAAAACAGTGTGGACTCAGGCTTTTAATTTTATTGTTATGAAGATGCCTATGAGAAAAATGATCAAAATTACTTTCACATCTTCCAAGGGCAACTATTATAATTTTTCATGCATCTAAATTGGGGTAGCCAAACTTTTCAACCTTTGATTGTGGAAAACACATAGCCCTGGGGAGTGAGGTTTTGATGTGTGTGTGTGTGTGTGTGTGTGTGTGTGTGTATGAAGACAGAACACCAACAGAAAGGGAAGAAAAATCTAAAAGAAGAAAGGTCTACACACTGAGTATTACTTTTTTTAGAGATGTATTTATTCCTTCAAAAGGCAGAGTTACAGAAAAAGGGAAAGTGACAGAGAGAGAGAATCTTCCATCCACTGGTTCACCCCTCAAATGGCCACAATAGCCAGGACTGGAACAGGCCAAAGCTAGAAGAGCCTGAAACTCCATTGAGTCTCCTAATTGAGGGCCCAAGGACTTGCTTTCCCAGGTACATTAGCAGGCAGCTGGATGGAAAGTGGAACAGCCGGGATTCAAACCAGCTCCTATATAGGATGACAGCATTGCAGGCAGCAGCTTAATCTGCTACACCCCATTCAGCCCCTCCAAGATTATTTAATAGGTACTCAACCAAAAGAAAAGGTTGACTGGCTTTTAACCATCTGAAGCAGAACTTCAATAACCTGTCCTATAAGGACATGGGAGTAATGACATGAAGAAGCACATCAGTTTACATTAGTGAGACTGGTTGTTACTTCATAATGCCCAAGCTTTGAAAGATCAGAAACACAGAGGACATACTCTTTGAATAGAAAAGTTGGAAAATAAAGTATCCCTGGATTATTTATCCCTGGAAGTTATTTCTCTTTTATTCTTTTTCTTTTATTTTTTAAGGAATACAAATTTCAAAAGCACAACCATACCTGCCCTCCCACCCACACTCCCATCCCTTCTCCTCCTCCTCCCTCTCCCCTTGCCAGTCCCATTCTCCATTGAGATTCATTTTCAATTATCTCTGTACACAGAAGACCAACTCTACACGAAGTAAAGATTTCAACAATTTGCACACATAAAAACTGTGAACTAGTTTTACAGTTAACTCTCATCATACAACTCTTTGAGGACAGAGGTCCTGCATGGGGAATTAGTGCACAGTGACTCCTGTTGTTAATTTAACAATTAACACTCTTATGTCTGACATCAGTGATCACCCAAGGCTCTTGACATGAGCTACCTAGGCTATGGAAGCCTTTGGAGTCCACAGTCTCTGTCAGTATTTGGACAAGGCCATAAGCAAAGTGGAAGTTCTCTCCTCCCTTCAGAGAAAAGTACATCCTTCTTTGATGGCCTCTTCTTTCTGTTGGGGTCGCATTCACAGAGATTCTTCATGTAGAACATTTTTTGCCATTGTGTTTTGGCTTTCCATGTCTGAAATGCTCTCATGGGCTTTTCAGCCAGATCAGGAAGTCTGAAGGGCTAATCCTAGAACTTATTTCTATGACAATTTTGCCTCTCAAATTGAATACCTTGCTAAGACACAAGAAAAGTTGTATGGATGTTTGCTAAAGGACCCAATTTCTTGCAATGATTAGAAATGCCCATTTATTTTAAGGAAATTAACAGTTACTAATTCTTTAAAGATTTTATTTATTTATTTGAGAGGCAGAATTAGAACGAGAAAGAGAGATCTTCCATCTGCTGATTCACTCCCCAAATGGCCACAATGGCCAGAGCTGGACTGATCTGAAGCCAGGAGCCAGGAGCTTCTTCCAGGTCTCCTGCACAGGTGCAGAGGCCCAAGCACTTGGGCCATCTTACACTGCTTTCCCAGGCCATCAGCAGAGAGCTAGATTGGAAGAGGAGCAGCTGGGACATGAACTGGCACCCACATGGGATGCCAATGCCGCAGGCAGAGGCTTAGCCTGTTAAGCTGCAGTGTCGGCCCCAATTATTAATTTTTAAAAATGTTCCTCATTTGCAATAATCTCATCCAAAGGTAGCACCCCCCATATGCATGAGCAGTGAATTACTTTCAAAAAATAATTGGTCACAGGAAAGCAGCATTTCCTCTAAATCAATGCTCAGAAAGGGATGGATACTTACAGAACGACCAGGCTTGAAAGGTTGGTAAATGCAAAGTCAGGGATGCTTGAGATTTTGTTGAGAGCCAAGGTCAGGGCCTGCAGAGTCGGTAGGTGGCTGAGTGGATGCACAGGCACCTCCGTCAAGCTGTTGTCATCCAGCCACAGATGCCGGAGCTGAACAAGGCCTTCAAAACTGTCCTCGGGGACTGAGGTGATATGGTTGGCATCCAAACGCCTGGCAGCAGCAGAAACAAGCACATTCAGTAACAGATTCTGGGAGAACGAGTCAGTCCACGTCACAAAATTCTCAGGGCTTTCAAAAAGTACAAAAGCATTTATAAAAACTATATTTCTTTGATTTACTAGAAGTTCTCACAAAATCTAAGAACTTTTACAAGACCAGTATATGAAAGTCTGGGCTTTCTTATAACAAAGGGATATATCCGCATCTAAATCCTTCCACTATGTTTGGTGAAGAAATGACTTTATAGTAGAAAGAAATATTAGAAGGAAAAAAGTAAACTCTACAGAGCTCAAGTTGGACTTTTTTCCTTTGGTGGAAACCTATCAAAAATACAGAAAAACAAGAAGAAACCAAGTTGAGCAATTACTCTACATTATTCACAATGTTACATTGCATGTAATATTTGGTAATAAACAATTGCTACTCTGGTATTTAAAAAGAAAATTTAGAAAATATTTACAAATTTCCTACAGCAACAAGCCATTTCAATGGATTCTCAATGACCCATATTGCCACTGTAAAGCAACCTTCTCTTAGCACTAAATACTTTTGAAAAGTTAATATGCCAAGATTACAGTGAATAAGGTCAAGTTGTCCGTAGGAAAAATTAAATAGCTCCTTAAATCAATGTCATTATGAGTTTCAAGCTTCAGTATTTTTTCAAAAATTTTGGAATTAAGGGAATCTTATTAATAACGTTACTCATACTTAAAATTTAGGTTCTCATCTGAAAATCTGGAAACAAAGTCCCAAGTGTTATTGTTGGCATAACCAGGTATAATTATTGGAATAATCATTTTCAACACAAAGACCACCTGGAATTAATATGCTGAGGAATGGTATGTGCAAGGCAAATCACAATTTTCCTCATAAATCCCTTGTTGATATATGCTCATCACTTATATTGAAGCTTCATAGCCTCTGTGAAAATTAGGAAATGTAAAAAAAAAAAAAACCTGATAAGAACTCAAAATGACAGCATGTTTTTAAAGAAATAAAGTTTGGCAACTCTTAAGCTCAGGAAATTCTAAGTGTTGGAGAGGTTCTTGTGCCTCCTGACTCCTTATGCTACTCTAACTTCAGCTCCTGTCACAGTTATCCCTTTCTGCTCCAGGCAAGCTCCAGGCTCCTGCTCCCATCTAATTGCCCTGAGCCCCAGAGGTATTCTCCTTCCCAGAGGTAGATTAGCAGAGGTTAAAGACCATTGGTGAAAACTGATGGGGGCTTTCTTTGTGACAGAGGCAAGATAACTGAAAGAACACTTAAGAAAGGGAAAGCTGCCATAAGACTGCTTTAAAAACAAGTATTTTTAGACCTGTTTATTAGTTGGACTTTCTAGAACTTACCCCTGGAAAGAGACAGGCATCCTCTATGACAGACAGGCAAAAGTACTGGCTACAGTGCTGTTTAGGAAATTTGCTTTAATGAGGGGACAGAATGCACACAGACATACACATAGCACAGATTGGAACTCCTCTTATTAAGAAGATGGAAATGCTAAACACATGAGTGGACTTCCAAAAAGTTCATGGAAGATGGAATTTAAAAACATAACTTTACTGAGGTACAAAAAAATTGGAAACCATGAATAACTTATAACACAGAATTCTTTGAAATTTGTAAAGACCCCTCACAGGATCATACAAATTAACCATGTAATGCAACAAACTCATACTTGAACTAATTTAATTATCTGCAATTCAGTCAATCTTTTTAAACTGAGCATCCTGCAAGGCACAAAGGATTAAATGGTGAACTCCACAGGCATGAGACCTGACCTCATGAGCCTGACATTCCAATGAAGGAAAGGCATGCAGTATAATAAACAAATTACCAAGTGACTACAGAATGTTTAAAAAGTGCTATGCAGTAAACAAACATGATTATGAAATTAAACATTGATGGGGACTGATGGGGAAGGTAACAATTTAAAATGTACCTGGCCAGGAAAAATTACACTAAGAAAGAGATATTTAAACTGAGACCTAAAGAATGATCAAGAGGCAGTACATACAGTAGCTAGGCAAGGAGTGTTTTAAGCAAAGAGCAAGGGCAAGAGACCCAGTATCGCAAACCAGCTTGGTGAGATCCAGCATGACCCAGAAGGTCAGAGTGATTAGAACACTTGAGGAAGTGAGTGGAGGGTCCAGGAAGACACAGGTGAGGCTGTAAACAGGGTCCAGATTGTGCAGGTCCCAGGAAGCCAGAGAAGGGGTTTAGATTGAGTTTTAACTACAAACTGAATTAGTTCTCCCATTTCTCAGTGTTACAGTAGTATAAAAGTTTAAATTGCTTATTTTTACCATACCAAAGAACTTCAAAAAGTTCATGGAAAATGAAATTAAAAGATAAGCTTATTTTGGTACAATAAAACTTTTAAAATCCATGCATAGATTTTTCCTAATTCATATATATGAACAATTTGCAGGACCCTCCCCCCACTGATGTTACTATGTCTTCCTATTCAACAAAAAAAGTGATGCACCCCCAAATACACATATCCAGTCTCACTGAAATGAACAGCTATGAAATTTTACCATGAAGATATGGTAAAATGCAATAAAAAAGTTGCCCATACTGTTTGAAAATAAATCCACTACTATATTCACCATTTATGCTCCTGAGAATTCTCTGCCATATACCATCAAAGAAGTCTTAACTTATAATGAGATAACTATGTCAGTTTTGAGCTAAGGTAGTAATGAAACTATCTTTTCTAAAAATAATAATAAAGCAATAAAAGCACAGACACAAATTCCACTATACTAAACATTTCCCAAAACTGTAAAGGCACATGTAAGAGGTTAAAAAGGAATACGTATGGAAAAATGGAACACTTAAGTAATAAAATGACAAAGATTTTTGGTGACTCAAATGGTTAATCCTTTCACCTCAATTTGAATGTGGGTACTGATGACACACCCATAAAGGTTTGCACTCTCCTGAAGATCAGTGCTTCACAAAGAAATTATCTTAGAACTGTAGCTTTACACCAGAGACCTACACTAAGATCAAGAAAATATTGTAAATGACTCAACAGTTATCATAGCATCAGATAGCTCACAAAGAGGAGAAATTATGTGTGCCTCTTCAAGGTATTCTATTTAAACTCATATAGCAAGAAATAAATATTACTTTTAGTCCAATTTTCTTGTTAAAAGTTTAATATATTAACTGAATTCAATTCTTATCATTTTCTTGAAAATGTGTTTTTTTTTTTTTAAAGATTCATTTATTTATTTGCAAGTCAGAGTTACACAGAGAAAGGAGACACAGAGAGAGAAAGAGAGAGATCTTCCATCCGATGGTTCATTCCCTAGTTGGCCACAACGGCTGGAGCTGCACCGATCCGAAGCCAGGAGCTTCTTCCAGGTCTCCCATGTGGGTGCAGAGGCCCAAGGACTTGGGCCATCTTCTACTGCTTTCCCAGGCCAAAGTAGAGAGCTGGTTCGGAAGTGGAGTACCTGGGTCTCGAACCGGTGCCCATATGGGATGCCGCCACAGCGCCGGCCCCTATGTTTCCCATTCTTAAAAGCCTATTTTACATCTGACTGAGGTTCTTGTGCTTTTGAATTATTTGTCTTAAAAAAATTAGTTAAAAAAACCACACACTATATGTAGTTACTTACTGTTGAAAGTCTATGTTATCAATAAACAGACCTGGGTAATCAAAGGTCTCTTTTTCTCCCTACTTTCAATTTACCAATAATATAAATATGATAGTCATAAACTCTTTAAAATTCTTGAGGAAGATCTAGCAAAGTTAATCTTTGAGGTATTTTAATATCCAAGATGAATGAGATCTAGCTTAAAGGAAAAGTTCTAGTGTAACTAATTCTGACATATCATTTTAATACACTGCTCAAATAATGTTTTAAGTCATTCTCATGGCTTTATGGGAAGCTGTTATGCTATCTTTTTAATTAATATCAACAATTCACTTTCAGATTTTATGGACATCATCAAGTTCACACTTGCTACAAACCACCTCTAGGCAATTTCAACCCCTAATGAACTTTGCTCCTTTTAAACACTGTTCAAAACCACAAGGAAATCTTTCATGTAATTCAGGTCTGAAGATCAGATTTTCAAACTGACTCAAGTGCTGATAAGAATGTTTTACACCAGGACAGAAATTCAATTATATCTAACTAGACACTGCACCCACTATGCTAACAAACCCATGAACATTTCCTTCTTAAATAAAACAGGCCTGATGCATAGCAGCGCCTTGCATTTCTGATACATATGCAAACAAACCAGTGTATTTTTTAAAAATAGTCTGTTTTGACTCCACTCCCAATCCTCATTGCAATTCTAGAGATCATTTAAACCAAGCAATCAATGAGAAGCACAGGTTTTTCTAAAATATTAGTATTTTAGAGTGAGAACCCCATGATTTCTGTGAAAAACACCACTTTAAATCATCTACATTATCAGTAAATGTCACATGTACTTTGATGTACTTACAGACCACAAATTAGAATCTATTTTTATGTTTTCTTGGTACTTTTTCTGTTCTAAAGTTGAAAATGAGAATGTAGTCTTTTTTTTTAACCTTTTCAACTAGACAAAATTAATCATTAATTCTTGGAAATAACTCAGTATGATGACCTTGAAGCAAAATTAATTCTGAAGAAGCAAAACAAACAAGACTATGTAAAGTGTCTGACAAATTTGAGTCCAAGGAGATTGGATGACTCTCTCCCCAACCATCTGTCCCAGGTGAGAAAGGGTATAGAAATAGCAAAATAACATTTCTGTTGTTCTTCCAACTGAATCATTTTAAGAGTCTACTTGGAGTCTCCTCAATTAGCTGTGGTGAATAATAAATCCTTATATTACATAACTTACCATTTGTGTGAAAGCAATGTAATACTGGGCACCCCTTAGTTATGACATTAACGTCATTATGAAATAGTTTAGATTTTACAACATATTTTTTATTAAAACATTTGTATTTTCATATTCATTTCCCACTACTTACGAGACTGTCTCAACAGAAATTTGCATTAGTTAGAATTCTGAAACAGGTCTGCTTGGTTTATGAATTCCTACTCTGCTCCTACTAGCTGTGTGATTTTAGGAAAATTATTTAAAATTCTCCAAACAGTAGTTTGCTCATTACCTACCATGTACTTTAATGCATGGAAAGCACTTGGAATTTATATATATATATATATATATATATATATATAAACAAGTTCTTTGCATAACAGTGGCAAAAAAAAGTGTTATATGAAAAATATTTTTACATTAGTGATTATAAATAGTAAAAATTAATAGTTGACACTGTGAATTCCCCACATAAAACCACATTTTTCTCAAAATGAAAACTCTGGGAGGGAAGTAGCTCAGGCACTTAAGTTACCCCCAACATATACTCAATGAGGAACTAAAATCAGTTTATTCTCATTATTAATTCATGAAACATAAACCATTTTGTGACTGTTTTCTTGAAACCAAGGGCACAAAACACTGAATCAGCACCCACAGAACTCTGGTTTCAAAGAGGTGTGATCATTAGCCATGTACCCTCAGCACTGATTACTTGGTAGCTTACTCTCAGCCTCCGAGACACAGAGGAGTAAATGGTACCACCTCCTCCCTCACCAAAGGATATTTTCCTAACAGCCATTTGCCACACCAATCTTTACCCCACATGAAAAGTTAAATCTCCCCTTTCCTGATAATTCCAGTTCTTTACACATTTAGTAGCCAGAGTGGTCTCCTAATGAATCAAGAATGCACACAAGCAAAGAGTTACTTACAGAGACTGCAAAGTGCTCAGTCCTCGAATGGCTTCACTGGGTACTGTTTTCAACTGATTGTTCTGGAGGGTTCTGGAAGGAAATTCTTGGTTAGTGAATAGCAAGCAATTGTTACCATTTTTCATTAGAATTCAGAACTGTTTCTTTCCAAATAATATTTCCAATGACAGAGAAAGAGAGAAAGAAAGAAAGTAGAGGTAGAAAGTTTCCAAGACAAAAGAAGTGCTTAAAAAGCAAGAAACATCTGATGTAAAGTCAGAAATGAAACCTATGCTGCTCTCCCAAGCCATCTCCTCACACAGACCTGCTGGGCAACCCACATTGCTTCATTCCCAGGAATTACAGCACTCTAGTTAACGCTCATCACCTGAGGTACTGTTAGTAAATGTTAATTGGAAGTATAACAAGTTCACTGGGAGGTACAACAAGCAAACTCACTGGTATCCCTAATACCTTTTCAAATGGTAATAAAGCAGTGCCTAGCAAAATGGACAAAGCCTAGGTAAGCCAGTTTGCCAAGAGGATAGCAGACTTTGGGCTTTTAGGCAGCAAAAGGAATGGCCCCAATGCAGCTGAGGCCATCTCAGAAATAGAGCTTTAATCATTCGATTACTAGGGCCTGGAGAATGGAAGTGTAAATCCAAACCAAAAATGAAATTCAGTTCATTTTTACCTAAAGCTATTACTGTCACATTAATGAAATGACTGCCTGAAATAACCACAGAATGGTAAAGGCTCACTGTGGGCCTGCAACCAGAGAGGTCTTATGACTTTGGCCAGCAAGGCAGTGGCAGAAGAGGGAGCAGTCTGCTCACCTGTTTCCCAATCTGCCACCCAGCAGGCTCCTGACATTTCTAGAAATACATTTCCTGATCTCTCAGTATCTATGTAAACTAGAGGTACCTGAATTCCTTTAGTGCTAAATGATTTTAACATTTGAAGCTCTTATAAACCTTTTCCCCTTTAGGGTCAGAAAGTTCAAAGTTCTCATAGCCAAAAAATAAGTAGTAATGAAATCTTACCAGTAGAGCTTAAATATGGTTTTAATTCAATGCATTTAGCCACACAAAAAACTCAACATTCAACTGTAATACCCTGGAGGTCAGAATACGTATTATTGAGAGTTTTAACTTTTGTTATCTAGAACCAAGTTTGTCTAAATCAGCCTCTAGTCTCCCACACTACCCATTGGCCACTCCTTAAATCTTTTAATCCTGCACTAAAAAACACTGTGCTTAACCTAGTTCCAAGCACGTTGACTATGCAGAAAGAAAATACAGAGCCAGCTGTGAAACTCTAAAATTGCATTACTTACAGAACTTTGAGTTCTTTCAACCCAGACAAGGCCTTTGGGTGGATAAAAGAAAGGTCGTTGCCAGCCAATTGTCTAGAAAAAAAAAAAAAGTAGCAACGGTAAAAATAAAAATTAAAAATAAAAATAAAGTAATTCAGACTGAAAATTCAGAACTCACAAAAATGGGACCTGTGACTAAAGCTCTGTGTTCAACATTTCTCTAGTCTATCTGACATTAAACATGGACTTAAACTTTCCCTAAAACAGTTCCAAGATTCTGCCAATGAGATAAGCGTCTCTAGAAATTTTTTGTAACTTTCAATACAATAACTTAAGCAGGCACATTCTTATTCTGGTGAGGTCAAGCAAGCCAAAACACATTAAACCAAATTAAGTTTGCTATTCATGGTCACTCTCTGCAGCTTGCACTGTTTTCCAAGGGCCTCATAAATACAGACTGCTAGTCAGCAGGCAGGGGTGTTTATACAGATCAGAGCAAACCAGTCTGTCAAGAAGAATGCCTTCAGGAGGCAAGTCAGCCTGTTATCTCTGCACAACCAAGGACAGCACATCCCTTGCAAAAGAGAGGCAAAAAGTGAGACTCGTTGTAAGCATAGCTTTCCAAACAAAAGTCCGTATATATTTTTAAAGTAAATATTTTCCTAAAGAAATGTTGAAATGACGAATTTAAATAGCAGAAGAATGTAGTAAGAAAAGGAGAATTCTTTGAGTCCTTCCATAACATATTTGAATATATAATTCATTCTGAGCCCCACTTCTGCTTCCATTTCCCTGAACATACAGAAATGGGAGAAAAACTTGAATAGAAGGTAGTAGGGAGAAAAAGCAGGAAATGGGAACCATGACTTATATACTTGTTATCAGGTAAACTGAAGGAATGTCTTCAGGATGAACACGTTGTATCTGACTTTTACCTAGAGGTTTAGCTGCTATGCCTGCTTCCACTGTTGGAGTGCCTGGGTTGGATACCCAACTCTGTCTCCTAACTCTAACTTCCTGTTAACTAATGTAGACCCTGGGAGGCAGCAGTGATGGCTCAAAGTGATGTTCCTGCAAGCCACAAGAGACACCTAGATTGAGTTACCAGTTCCTCCTGGCTTTCGCTTCAGGCAGGGACCACTGTTGGCATTTGGGGAATGAACCAGAAGATGAGACTATGCTTCTTTTACCTCTCTTTCCTCTACCCTATTTCTGTCTTTTTTCCCAGTCTCTCTGCCTCTCAAATAATTAAAAAAAAAAAAAAAAAAAACCTCATTGGAAAATAGAATTAAAAGATATGTTTCTGGAGGCAGGGTTGTGGCACAGTGGGTTAAGTTGCCATTTGTGACACCAACATCCCACAGTAGAGAGGTAGTTTCAAGTCCTGGCTGCTACACCTTTGATCCAGCTTCCTGGTAATGCACCTGGGAAAGCAGCAGATGACGGGCCAAGTACTTGGGCCCATGCCACCCCCTTGACAGACTGAGATGGAGTTTCCAGCTCCTGGCTTCAATCTGTCTGTTGCAGCCTTTTGCAGTGTAAACCAGTGGTTTGAAGATCTCTCTCTCTCTCTCCTCTGTCACTCTGTTTTTCAAGCAAATAAACAAATCTTTTTTAAAAAAAATTAAAGATAGGGGCTGGCATTGTGGTACAGCAGGTTAAGCCACTGCCTGAGACACCAGCAATCCCTATGAGCATCAATTTGAGTCTGAACTGTTCCACTTCTGATCCAACTAACTGCTAACGCACTCAGAAAAGCAGCAGAAAATGTCCAAAGTGCTTGAGCACCTGCCACCCACATGGGAAACCCAGATGGAGTTACTGGCTCCTGGCTTTGGCCTGGCCCAACCCAGGCCATAGTGGTAATTTCAGAGGTGAACCAGTGTATGGAAGATCGATCTCTCTCTCTCCTTCTAACTCTGCCTTTCAAATAAATAAATAATTTTTTTTAAAAGGTTAAAGGTGGGGCTAGCACTGTGGCTTAGTGGGTAAAGCTGTCACCTGCAATACCAGCATCCCATATGGGCACCGGTTGGAGTCGCTGCTCCGCTTCCAATCCAGTTCTCTACTATGGCCTGGGAAAGCAGTAGATGATGAAAAAGTCCTTAGGACTCTGCACCCATGTGGGAGACCCAGGAGAAGCTCCTGGCTCCTGGCTTTCGATCAGCCCAGCTCTGGCCATTACGGCCATTTGGGGAGTGAACCAGCGGATGGAAGACCTCTTTCTCTCTGCCTCTGTTTTTCTGTAACTCTGCCTTTCCAATAAATAAATAAATAAATAAATAAATAAATCTTTTTTTTTTTAAAGTAAAAGGTTAAGTTTTAGTGCATAAGAAAATGAACTCCATGAATACTTTTTTCATATACGCATTTTCCATTTACTTTTTTTCTTTTTAGAGAGAGAAAAAGTTAGAGAAAGCTCCAACCTCTGGTTCATTCCTCAAATGCCTGCAAAGGCCCACAGCAGATGCCTGTGTTAGAAGCCCAGACCTGAATCCACATGTGTGACAGGAACCCAATTACTTGAGCAATATCTGCTGCTTCAGCAAGAAACTGGAGCCAGGAGCCCAAGCTGGGCATCAAATCCAGGCACTACAACGTGAGACACAGGCATCTTAACTGATTAGCTAAAACCCACTGAATCCATGATCTTTTTAAAATTTTATTTAAGATATACAAACTTCATGCATTTCATATATACAAATTTAGGAACACAGTGATTCTTCCCACCCTTCTTCCTCCTCTTTCTCCTATCTCACTCTTAATTTTTTACACAGATCTATTTTCAGTTTCCTTTATATTCACAGATTAACCTTTCAGTATGCAAAGAGTTCCAACAAATAATATGAGAAAAAAAAAAAAAAAACACTGTTCCTCAACAGTAAAGATGAGGGCTGTAAGCAATCATTGAATCTCAAAATGTCAATTTCACTCCTATACATTACATTTCAGATACTCTATTGGTTACCACACATCAGGGAAAACGTAGTATTTGTCTTTTTGGGACGGGTTAATTTCACTAAGTAAAATGGTTTCCAGTTGCATCCATTTTGTTTCAAAAGATTTCATTTTTTTAACTGCCGAGTAGTATTCCATAGTGTGTATAAGCTACAATTTCTCTTTTTTTAAAAAAAATATGTATTTATTTATTTGAAAGTCAGAGTTACAGAGAGGCAGAGGCAGAGACAGAGAGAGGTCTTCCATCCACTGGTTCACTTCCCAGATGGCCGCAATGGCCGGAGCTTCGAGGATCCAAAGCCAGGAGCCAGTAGCTTCTTTCTGGTCTCCCACACAGGTGCAAAGGCCCAAGGACTTGGGCCATGTTCTACTGCTTTCCCAGGCCATAGCAGAGAGCTGGATTGGAAGTGGAGCAGCCAGGACTCAAACCGGAGCCCATATGGAATGCCGGGCACTGCAAGTGGTGGCTTTACCCACTATGCCATGGTGCAAGCCCTCCACAATTTCTTTATCCAGTCATCAGTTGATGGACATCTGAGTTGATTCCATATCTTAGCTATTGCGAATTGAGCTGCAATGAAGAGGGAGTACAGATAATTCTTTCATATGCTGGTTTCATTTCCCTTGGGTAAATTCCCAGGAGGGGGACTGCTGGTTCTTATGGTAGATCTATTTTCAGATTTCTGAGATATCTCCATACTGTCTTCCACAGTGGATGCTCCAGTTTACATTCCCACCAACAGTGGATTAGGATACCTCTTTCCCACATCCTTGCCAGCATTTATTGTTTGTTGATTTCTGTATGAGAGCCATTCTAACTGGGGTGAGGTGAAACCTTACTGTGGTTTTGATTTGCGTGTTCCTGATGGCTCTAGTGATCCTGAGCATTTTTTCATGTGTCTGCTGGCCATCTGAATTTCCTCTTTTGAAAAATGCCTATTCAAGTCCTTTGTCCACTTCTTAACTGAATTGTTTGTTGTGTTGTTGAGTTTCTTGAGCTCCTTATAGCAAATCCATGAACTTCCTGAAGACATCTCTATGTATGGAATTCTAAATTCTGTAACAATAGGAACTTACCTTTTAATTCAATTTTCTGTGAACTCATTGAAGTGTCCTTGTACTTAAAAATGATGGTTATGTGTCACGTGATCAAATACAGCACTGTCTCAGTTTCCTGGCTGTCAGAATCATCTGCCAGGCAGCTAGATTCCATCACCTTAATTTTAATTGCTGTCCTCCCTCATGTCTTAGGACCACATCGTCACCAAGTCCTCCTTTAAAATTTGTAATTTTAAACTTTCTTAAAATTTATAAAACTTAATACTTATAATTCAAACTCTAAAATGTAAATTTCCCCTGCCTTTTCTATTTCTTCTGTAGGCATCGGCATGGCTGAACCACATTCATCAATTCTTTAATTCACTAAAAGTTTTATTCATTCAAAAAAAAAAAAAAAGAAAAAGAAAGAAAGAAAAGAAAAGAAAACAAAAACAAGTGCCAGGCATACAATATCCTCTCCATTGGCTTCAGGTTCCTTGAGGCTCCTTTACTACACCTAAGACCTGAAGTCATTGGGATTTGAAACTCTACTTTGGGGTACATTATTTTTCCAGAGAAGTTTTTTTCCAGTGAAAATACAAACAGCCTAAGGTGAATACCTGATCCTTATCTGGCTTTAGCAGAGACATATAGGGGATCAAAGCAATTCAGAAATCAAAAGGGAGAATATGTTGAATTATTTCCTCAACAACAATGATAACAATAAAGGATTCTCAAGCAACACTACAACTTAAACACATGGTTCATGTCCCTGAAGAAAAGTCTCCCTAAAATCTCCTCTCACCATGTTCTTTGTGTCTCACAAGGCATTCTAGCACCTAAGCTCAATATGACATGCCATTCAAGGATCTCCTAAGTTAGGCTTCACAGTAACTTACTTCATAGCCCTAGCCTTGTTGGTGTAAATTAAAATGGAAATGAGGCATGCAGAATCTCAGAGCAGATAAAAGTCAATGAGATTTCATAACTGTCTTTGTAAGATGTACAAACATATGCAAATCTTAATGAGCTATTTCTTGGAAATGCCTATATTTAAGAAAAACAGAACGTAAGCTCCACCAATCCTAACACTTACA